GCTGATTTGAGGATCGAAGGGACTATTATTATTAAGAACAGTACCTCAGTGCCTCTTCACACACTTTTCTTGGTGCCTTGTCTTACCAAAGTGGCTTTATACTGTAAACACTCTAGTGTCTCACATTCACAAAGTATGTGTGCAGATGTCTGATTTATCTTGAAAAGAGGCCCATTCTTTATATAGGCATATATGTAAGTTTGTTCAAATCTTGCCAGCCTCAATTTCCCTTACCTTCATTTTTCAGAGTTTTATGAATCAATTAGCTTGCCTCCTAGTGCTTGTGTCCAGTTCTTGAGGTTTTCTATCTTTCCATTCTATTTTTCCAGATTTTAAGCACACCACTCGAGTTATGTGAAGTTTGATTCTGGTTCCATTGGTGACAAGGTTCTTCTTTGGCTAGTTGGTCATCCTGTTTGTTTTCTTCAATACCTTCATCTCCTGGAACCGACCTGCAAGGTGTAGGTTTCAAGGTAAACTTGGTGTTCTCCTAAAACCATTAGGCAATTCAGGGATTCCCAGATTTTCTTCTTTATCAACTTCTATGTGCAGAGTTGAATACCATGGGCCTCAGCCTGGAAGATAGTTCCCAGTCCAAGAGGTAATTCCATTTACCCGTACACTACCTCCCTGTTTCATCTTTGTTCCTTCTTTCATATTAAGGCCCCCATTGCCTGGTTGTCTTTCTTCCAGAGATCTATGTCTACTTGGAAGGTTAAAGCATGCTTCCTGTTCATTATTTTTTCTATCTCGAATCATTTTTTTTGGCTAGTTGGTCAGCTTTTCATATCCTATACCTTCATGTCCCTGACCTCCTCAAGGTCCCTTGTGCTCTCCTAAAACCAAATTGCTTTAACAAACTGCCTAGAGCCTCAATTCCACAAAGGTTATATGCCTATGTCTGATTTCTCTTGACGTAAAACCTTCTTTAGATGATAGTTCACCCAGGCCAGTTGTTAATCTTCCTCAGATCTCAATCTGAGACAGAGGAGTTCCTTGGCTCTCCTTTGACAGAGTATTATGGTTCTCCTCGTAACGTGTGTCCAGTGTTTGAGTTTTTCTTTCTCAAGCTGTTTCCAGCTCTGACTTTAGCTCACTCTTCAGTGTGCCTAGTTATGGTTCCGGTACCATGGGTGATAGGATCCTTGTTTGGATAGTTTGTCAGCCTGTTCGTTTCCTTCAGTGCTATTTCAAGGTCACCCTGTTGTGTTCTAATGCTATTAGGCAATTTAGACCCCAGACTAGTTTGAAGCTAAAAGCATAAACATTTAGTGCCTTTAGTAATGCCCTGACTGTCCAAAATGTAGAGAACCAGTCCAAAGGGTTTTGCTTGGGTGTGTTTCCCTTTAATCCTAAACCTTCTGAACCTTCTGAGCAGCCATTTTTGTCAAAGATGTTAAGACACTTCGAAGGGTGTGTTCATTTTACGTTTTCCTCTCTTTTTGTCAGCCATCCTATTTCTTTAAATTTTATCTTGAATTTTGTGGTGGATTCTCCTTAGATCTGGTTTTCTTTTTTTGTATCTCAGGAATGTTTTGACTATCTCGAAAGCTGTCCTTTTTCTCTACTTTTCAATTTTGTTTCTGTGTCCTTATGCAGTGTTTTTTGCCACCACCAGAATCTCTTGTCAAAATTATTACTCTGCTGTAAGAATCTAAGAAACTCAAAGTAATTGACAGTCTTGATACTAGGCATGGAGATAATCTAAAACTGTTAAAAATTGTGACCAAATAACTACTATTGGACGAGTAAATTTTACAATAAACTACCGTGAAAAATCAACTACTAAACCTCAACTTCTAATCGGGCAAGGACACTTGATTTAACACAGTTTTCGTTTTATGACTCATTTTGGGATATCAGCGTTTAAAAAAATATATATATATTATATGCCCGATGCCCCATTTTAAAGATAAACAGAATTTTTCAACTTATCTCACGTTAAGATAAATAATTTGGGTTGGATTTTAAAACAGGAAATGTTCCAGATAGTGGTACATCATGTTTGTCATGTGTAATTGTTTTTTTATTTGATTTGTCTAATGTACAGATTTTTATAAGAGACAAATTTTATATTTTAATTTTTCTTTCTGTCTGTTCCATGTTCGGTTCTTTGCTGTTCTTCTGCTGCAGCTGTAAGTATTTTAGATTGTAGAAAAAACGATATGGTCCAAGGGGAATCACGAAATCTATGAAGTGGTAACTGATAAGATTGTAATGCACTGCCAAATTATTTTTTTCTCTCTTTCTCTCTAAAAGTAAAAGTTAAAAAATTACTATAATTTTCGGGAAAGGAATGTTTTTAAAGTATAAAGCGTATAAAATTGCCACATTTTTTCATAATTCTCAGCGTGAATAAAACCGCACGATATATTTAAAAGAAAAACTATATCTGATTGGTCATGTATTGAATCGATATTACATTATTAAATAATAAAATGAAAAAAAAATACCAATTTAATTTTTTGGAATTATGATATATAACACCTTTTTAGTAATCTCTTGACCTAGTTCTCTCTTATTCTCATATCTCCTCTCACTTCTCTCACCGGTATTTCTCGATTTCTTGATCCCCTTATCTCTCAATCTCAGTATCTTTTTCTCTTTCTGTGCTGTATTTTTTCGAGGGAACAAGATCAAGAGATCGAGAAATGGATAAGAGTGAGAGAAAGAGAGAGAGAGAGAGAGAGTGAGAGGATGCGTGAGAATGAGTGAGAGAGATATAGATCGAGAATTGGATAAGAGTGAGTGTGAGTGAGTGGGACATAAAATATTAGGACATTGAGAGAGCACTAAACCAAGAGATGGAGAAATGAATAAGTGTGAATGAAAAAAGAGATCAAAAGCTCCAGAAATAGATAAGAGTGAGTGAGGGGGGAAGAGAGAGAGATGAATAAAAGTGAGTAAGAGAGAGTGCTAAGGCCCTTCGGGTCGTTTTCGATTTTTATTTTCCCAAAATGGGTTTAACACAAAAAAATTAGTCTACTCGTCTGTTAAAAAGGTTAAATTAAATAAATAAAAATAAATTATCTTGAAACAATTTTATTGAATGCAGACCCATAAACAAACCAAACTAAAGGAGCAAATGAAATTAAAAATTCTCTTATAAAGAAGAGTGAGAAAGTGTGAATGAAAGTGAATGTGTCTCTCAGTGAATAAGAGAGAGAGAGAGAGAGAGAGAGAGAGAGAGAGAGAGAGAGAGAGAGATATGAATGAAAGTGAGTGAGAAAGAGGGAGAGAGAGATGAATAAAAGCGAGTGAGTAAGAAAGTGAAATTTTTGCAGTCAGAAAACTGTCGATTACAGAGAAATTGATACAGTCAAAACTAAATATACATATTTATAATTTTCAGTTATTTAATAAGTGTTAAGAACAAATGTAAGTACTCAAGGTTTTCAGGGCCTTCCGAATTGATCGAGAGATCTTGAGCACACCTGAAGGGTGTGGGATTAGATCAGCCGGATCAACTCGGCCCCCCCCCCTGTAATGATATTCTAAGGATCATCAAGAGAAACAGAAAGAGAGAGAGATATGAATAAAATTGAATGAGAGAGGGAGAGAGAGAGAGAGAGAGAGTAGATAACAAGATCAAGAGATCGAGAGATCGAGAAATAGATAAGAGTAAGTGAGGGGGAGAGAGAGAGAGAGATGAATAAACGTGAGTGAGAGAGAGAGAGATGAATAAACGTGAATAAGAGAGAGAGAGAGAGAGAGAGAGAGAGAGAGAGAGAGATGAATGAAAGTGAGTGAGAAAGAGGGAGAGAGAGTTGAATAAAAGTGAGTGAGTAAGAGAGAGAAAGAGACAGAGATGAATAAAAGAGAGGAAGTGGGAGAGAGAAAGAGAGATGAATACAAGTGAGTGAGGGAGAGAGAGCGAGTAAGAGAGTAAAAGAATGTTAGAGAAAATAATTTTATTTTTGGGGGGAAACGTTCCACTTTTATTTCAAAAGAAATATTTGATTTATTTCTCTTTTTCGGTCAGTGTTTGACCTGGTTTCGAGAGTGCTTCTGGCCAACGAACCCCCAGGTATACAACAACATGTCTCAACGACACGTATAAAATGTTGATAAACTGAATTCTTTCCAGTGGGGGAACAATTTGCCAAGAAATTTATATTCAAATAAATTGTCGTGACAAACGGCAACATGGAAGGAAATGTTTTATCTTCTGTGACATCACTTCACACCAAACCCTGGAAGTGGCTTGGCCATTTATCTCAACGTTGATTACTAATAATCAAACAATTTAGTTCAAGACGTGTCAGATTTTTACTCTGTCCGTTGATCTGTTCATTTTTCTTTTGTTTGTTTATCACTTATTCGTTTTTCCGAAACGTTTACTCGCTCTTATACCACGATCTATTGATCTAATTCTCTCTCACTTTTATCCATTTCTCGATCTATGGATCTAGTTTTCTCTCTCTCTCTCTCTCTCTCTCTCTCTCTCTCTCTTTTATACATTTCTTGATCTATTTATCTAGTTCTTTTCTCTCACTCTATTTCTCTCTTGCATTTCTCGATCTATTGGTCTAGTTCTTTTCTCTCAATCTTTCTATCTCTCCCTCCCCCTCCCTCTTACTCTGATACATTTCTCGATCTCTAAATCAAGTTTTCTCTTACTTTTATATGTTTCTCGATTTCTTGATCTAGTTCTCTCTCCCCTTTATGCATTTCTTGATCTATGGACTTAGTTCTCTCTCTCTCTCTCTCTCTCTTATTCTTTTCTTGATCTATTGATCTAGTTCTCTCTCTCTCTCTCTCATTCTCATGCATTTCTAGATCGATTGATCTAGTTCTTTTCTCTCCCTCCCCCTTCCTCTCTCTCAATCACTCACTCGTCGTTTTCTCTCTCTTCTCTGTTGTATTTGTTGAAAATTCTCTCTCCCCTCTCTTTTTACCCATTTCTCGATATCTTGATCCTAGTGCTCCCTCTTTCTCACCTGGTGAGTTCATCCCTTATTGTGTCATTTGTTTTTCTATTTATTCAGTCCTGCTTTTGGTATACTTTGGGTTGTGCGGATTTTTTGAACAAAGGGTGTGAGGACAAAAGGTGTTATTTGCTATTCTCTCATCTTCTTCGTTGCCTTCAATCCTCTGTCGGGCACCTCATCAGAGTAACCCGAATTCGTTTACCCACTATTTGGAGATATGAAAGTACACCATCAATTTCTGATAATTCAAAAATTACCACGGTTTGCTAGTGATGGCCTTGCAAGTAATTTTTATGCAGTGTTCTTTCTCGTTATGTGTTTTTTACACGGCATGCCAAAGAATGAATTACGAACCAAAGCGAGTATTACGAATGAACTTTGTCGTAACGCAAACGAGCCACTGTGGAGGGAACCACGCAGGGGCCAGAAGGAATACCAATGCAGTCTTTGGAGGGGTACCGCAACGATACGGTCTAGTGGGGGAAGTCGAGACGGAAGTATCGTTCAATGAAACTGTGCGACCGTCGGACCAGTACTGTCCTGTGTTTCGTGTTCGTCTAGTATCTGTTCTAATTCTTGTACGGCCTTTCGTCGTGAACCAGCGGGAACACAACAAGCCTCCAGTCTGCATTGCCATGGCCAAGGATCCACCGCCCACTCTCCCCAAGTACTACACCCCTTCTTATCGCCTGTCAAATAACAGACGATATGAATCACCTGCACATCTTGACTCAGTAATTTATTTTATCTATCGATACATTTCACAATATATATACATTTTTTTAGATTTTCCACGAATGATAGAACTTGATCATAGAAGTACAGCAAAGGCACTTGACATTTATTTGTTCCATGTTAGCTTTTTTTTAAATAAATTCTAGGCGTATATTTCATTCTAGCATTCTCAAATATCTTGATCGCTCCTCATAACTACAACAAATTATTAAACACCCGGTCTTGAAAAAAACACTCATTCTCAAAAATTTTAAAATTTGACCACAAACAGTCACAGTCACACACACACACACAAAAAATACTTTGAATGCTACAGCCGACACTTGCCAACTTTGTCTGTGACTCCTATGACCATTGAAAGTGTGATAGTCGCGGGAAAAACCCCGTCATCATCGGAATTTTTTTGATGTTTTTTCACACTTTTCTCGACGAAGAATTTCGCATAAAATGATGTAAAAAAATATATTTGTACAAGACAGCTACAGCTAATAAACAACGTGATTTCCTCTGTTCCGTTCTTTGTTTTAGTTTGTTATCGATCATATCAACTATATGCTAATCGTACTGGTCTTGCAAGTTGAAAAAAAGGAGTATGCCACCAGGTTCGATTATTTATTACCATTAAATGGCGTAGTGTCTAATAATAATTAATAGTAAAATATATCATTTAAGTTTAGGAGAGAAATAGTGCCATGGGCGTCGTATGTCATAAGACTAGGATTATGGCTGGATAGAAAAATTTTACCAGCCGTATTACCATCCTAGTAAACACGAGACGAAAACAAATACATCAAATTACTTTTTCCTCTGCTCAGTGAGAAATGAAACATGAATATAGAAAAAAGTCTGACTTATAATTACATATTTGTGCCCTTCTTGACAAATAGCAAAAAACAAAGATCTCTTTCTCACATTGTAACCCACGTTGTAAACGAGATCCAGTCTGCGTGGAAAAATAAAACGCAATTTTTATCATACACATATTCGTATATTTAGTATGTAATCTATGTTTATCTCCCTGACACTTTCTCACTGACTTTTAGCCAGTTCTCTCACTCTTTTGATCTATTGTCCTCTCTCTTCTTCTCTGTCTCTTTATCTCTCTCTGTTGCTGTATCTTTTTCAAGAGAACTAAATCAAGAAATTGAGAATTGGATAAAAGTGACAGAGCGTGAATTAGATCAAGAGATCGAGAAATGTATGAGAGAGAGAGAGAGAGAGAGAGAGAGAGTGTGTGAGTGAAAGTGAAAGAGTAATGGATCAAGAGATCGAGAAATGTGTTAAAGCGAGAAAAGGAGAGGTAAAGAAAGATTGATTGATTGATAGATAGATAGATTAAACGTTTTTTTCCACCTAACGTGAGTTGTACATTTTACATTATACATAGAATTTATGCAGACTCTTTTGATCTTTACAATTTATTTTACAAATAAATAGAATAAAGGAAAAAATAAAGTTTTACACATTGTATCTCGGGTTGTAAAAGATATTCAGTCTGTGTGAAAAAATAAAACGTAATGTTTATCATATAACGTATCCGTATATTTAGTATCTGTTCTTTGTTTATCTCTCTGTCACTCTCTCACTGACTTTTAGCCAGTTCTCTCCTTCTTCTGATTTATTGTTCTCTCTCTCTCTCTCTCTCTCTCTCTCTCTCTCTGTGTGTGTGTGTGTGTGTGTGTGTGTGTGTGTGTGTGTGTGTGTGTGTGTGTGTGTGTGCTGTATCAGCAATGGATCAAGAGATAGAAATGTGTAAGAGCGACAAATGGATAAGAGTGAGAGTGAGATTGAGAGAGAGCAATGGATCAAGAGATAGAGTAATGTGTAAGAGCGACAAATGGATGAAAGAGAGAGAGAGAGAGAGAGAGAGAGAGAGAGAGAGAGAGAGATGAATGAAAGTGAGCGAGAAAGAGGGAGAGAGATGAATAAAAGAGAGTGATTGGGAGAGATGAATGCAAGTAAGTGAGGGAGAGTGACGAGTAAAAGAGTGAAAGAATTTTATTCTTTGGGGGGAAACGTTCTGCTTTTAGTTGAAAAGAAATATTTGATTTATTTCTCTTTTTCGGTCAGTGTTTGACCTGGTTTCGAGAGTGTGCTTCTGGCCAACGAACCCCCAGGTATACAACGACATGTTNGCTCTCCTCTCTCCGCTCTCCTCTCTCCTCTCTCCGCTCTCCTCTCTCCTCTCTCCGCTCTCCTCTCTCCTCTCTCCCTCTCTGCTGTTTAATTAACATCCTACCAAACAAAAGTGTAAACAAATACGTAAAATTGCATCAGGATTTCTCTCAGTGAGAGAGATAAACCATTAATTTATTACTTATTTTACAATTACTGTAGTTTCTTTTGATTAAGTATACAATTAATTGTACATCCGGTCTGGAATCGCTGGTATAGAATAATAGAAGTTACTTTTAGTAATAGTTAAAGAAAAGATAAACACTTCTTATGGCAATCATTTTAACAAGAATCATAACTGAAATAACATTTAATTGATTTCTATGTGATATGGCAAGAATAAAAGTCCTCGATACAATTAAGACGATTATGTATCAACTATTAAAAAAGGACATAAACGATTTTAAAGCAAACTTTGTCCAACTTGAACATGAGGTCTGCTCGGTGCTTTTCACCTCTTCCGCGAACATCACAAAATTATAAATAGTACACACTAAAATGGGACAAATGTGCGACTGATTTTCTTATATCATGAAAATCTAGCACCAATTAAAAACCTTGATGGTTCCGTTGCATCCAGAAATTACCACAAACCAGACTTTAAACCGAAGTGCAACATATTTGAAATTTTATTTATATACGTATTATTTATTTATATAATTGACTTTTTTCCATTTGCGCACCTCCTTGAAGTTTCAGAAGTGTGCTCATTGTTAAAATTTGGTTTCTGGTCGGATTAGTTAAAAAAAAATTAAAGCGTCTTCGTCGGCGTTATCTTAACGGCTCAAAAGAAGCCGGTCTGAATGGGTCCTATGTCCTAGACGAGATTAGATGGTCCTTTTTCATATCCTGGAACCCAGGGGTATAAATTATGGCTGTGATGAGGCAAATGGTTTTTTTTGTTCTTATTAATTAGCAATAATACTATTGAGGCTAGTACTTACTGCTTGGATAATTTAAGTTCTGTATTTAATTTGTTTTAAATCTGTTATATTTTAGTTTCTTTTACACTTGCTTACATTTCTGAATCGATTAAATTACAATAATTTAAATTTTAATTTTATGCAGTTTTTATCTCAATTTCTCGAATTCCCACTCTACATAGTTGTTTGCTTTGTCTGCCTCTCACTTTAGAACAAGATGAAGAGGTCAAGAAATTTATAAGATTGAGAGACGGGAGAAATAAGAAATGAGAATAAGAGTGACCGAATTACAAGGGGACAATGAGAGAAAAAGAAATAGAAATAAAGAGAGAGGGACAAGGGAATTTTCCCCTCTCTCAATATTAGTAACTTAGTCATTTCTCAATTTCTTGAACTAGTTCTCTCTCTCAATCTTATTCATTTCTCGATCTCTTGATCTACTCTCTCTCTCTCTCTCTCTCTCTCTCTCTCTCTCACTCTCTCACTCTCACTCATTCATTTCTCTATCTACTGATCTAGTTTCCTCTCACTTAGTCTTATTCATTTCTCGATTTCTTGATCTACATTCTCTCTCTCTCTCTTTCTCTCTCTCTCTCTCTCTCACTCTCACACTATCACTCACTCTTATTCATTCTCTATCTCCTGATCTAGTTTTCTCTCTCTCACTCTCACTCATTCATTTCTCTATCTACTGATCTAGTTTCCTCTCACTTAGTCTTATTCATTTCTCGATCTCTAGGTCTACATTCTCTCTCTCTCACTCTCACTCTCACACACTCTTATTCATTCTCTATCTCCTGATCTAGTTTTCTCTCTTTCAGTCTCATTCATTTCTCGATCTCTTGATCTACATTCTCTCACTCTCACTCACTCTTATTCATTCTCTATCTCCTGATCTAGTTTTCTCTCTTTCAGTCTCATTCATTTCTCGATCTCTTGATCTACTTCTCTCTCTCCCCCTCCTCCTCCTATTCATTTCTGTATCTCTTACCCAGTTCTCTCACACTCTTATTCATTTCTCTATATACTGATCTAGTTTTCTCTCACTCTTATTCATTTCTTGATCTCTTGATCTACTTTCACTCTCTCTCTTTCTCTCTCTCTCTCTCTCTTTCTCTCTCTCTCTCTCTCTCTCTCTCTCTCTCTCTCTCTCTCTCTCGTTCGTTTTCTATTTCTCTTACTTTCTGCCTATATACTATTGTCTCGTTTATTTAGTTTTCTTTGGCTCTCATTTACACATTCATTATCAATCTATTTGTCCCTCTACTAATTGCTCTCAGACCTGTTACTTTTCATTTTCGCATATACTCGTACACAATTTACGCTCTGGCAAACACTTCGTCCTTCTTTGTGTACAAGCTTAAACCCGATCTACGACGGTGAATGGAAAACCGGATTACTCTTCGATTTTTAATTTCAATTTCGTACGAGTTCGCTAGACTCGGCGAATTTTCTTTTATTCCATTACATAAACCCGAGTGGAAGAGTTTTTCTTTTGAACTCTGTTCACATCAGAATCGGGCGAGATACACTCGCTTTCAATCCAATTGGAAGCAATGATCCAATTAGAGCACGAAGGGTCCTTACTTACAAGACCCAAGAAGTTCGAGAAACCGGAAATAAATTATCAAAATAAATTTAAACCCAAGGAACAAAAAATAAGCAGATTTTCCACTCAATTTCTCTATTTTTGAAATTAAGAACTTTAAATTAAGAAGAAAGAAGAATGTAAAAATTAAAATTTCAGTAATTTTTTTAAAAAACAACGAAATATAAATGGATATAAAAGAATATATTTAAAGAAAAAACCCGTATTTACCAGTCCTATTTCTCAGAAATAGCTATGGAAATTATAGTTTTCCTGAAACAGAAATAAATTCCAAGCTGTCACACTTTTCCTCTCTCTTTGTGTACTATTATCTAGCCTTATTTGTATAATCCTAAGTTATTTGTTTGGTATAGAGGCCCAAATAAATTAGTACGGAAACAATCGCCAAAAAGTGTTTTCTACTTTTTACTAAAAGGTTTTGGCCTCTACACCCAAAAATGATCTATGCAGGACTATTATATATTTAAAATTTGCGTCCATATTTGGTACAAAATAGTTGACCATATTTTTAGACGTTCTTAAGCTCTGTTTTAATTTTACATTGAATTTTTCTAGTTTAAAATTGTGACTATCAGAGAAATAAATTGCAATTATAACAAAAAGGCTGGTAAAATTCCTTTAAAACACATATATTGGGACACAAACGAAATCCTCCAGTTACAATACAACACAAAGGACCTAAGGATGTTTTCCCCCCTTGTCTAAACATGTGGCGTGCATCTGTTAAGGATGTGACACTATCCTTAACTCTCTTCAGGTCAATTACATGTGTTACCAGTTAAAATTAACATTGGCTTGTACATTTTTTAAATATGTTTTTATTTAAAGTTGGAATAAACTTTGTTGAAGTCTCCTAATTAGCTATTGTTGACAAGCTACTAGGCATATACAATTTTGCATATATCTATCATTATCTAATTACATTAATTATGCCATTGAAAACTGTAATGTTGGTGGTGTGGCAGGGCTGGGTTGTGGTGACGCTGGTCAGTTTTGGGCTGGACGATCTTCTCCTGTCAGCTTAGCAGAGGAGGTGTCAATGGTGTCTACACGCCTTTAAAGGCCTTTAAAAAATAAATAAATAAACAAAAACTGTTGAAAATTAGTCTGTCTGTTTGTATGTGTTGTTGTTGTTGTTCTTGTTTTTGCTGGTTTCAACTATCAGATTTGGCATTTTGCCATTTTCGCCGTTCTGCCAGGATATTGAAAACACCCAAACAAATGCTTAACATTTTATTATCGCAACACAATTACCAAACTATTGATTGAGTGTAATTACAGCTAAAGTAATTACAAATTTATATGCTTTATAAAAGTTCCTTTTCCTCGAAATTATAATGTTTTTTGAAAATAATTGAAAGAAAAATTGGTTTTCAGTTGGTTGATTGTTTAGAGCCAATAAGGAACGTTAATAATCCGTTTTAATATTATTTACAAAATTCAGAAAAAAAATCAATTTTGTTTAAATTTTAATAATTTTTAGCTACCATCAAAACGTGAATTGTTTTTCAAGAATGAACTCCCTGCATCTGGAGTTCCAGAGGCGACTGCTACGCCTACCCCTCCTCCGACGTTATCAAAAGAAAATTTCACCAAACGCCAAAACGATAGGGGTAATTTCATTTAATATAAACGTTGTATATAATTTTCTTTTGATTTTTCATTTTTCGTAGGTGATCCTCCTGATCCAGTCGACAGGTTTAGCAGTAAGGTTGACAGGGACAGGACACTTCCGGAGAAGAAAACGAAGGAATTGGATGGATATGTCGGGTTTGCAAATTTGCCCAACCAAGTGTACAGAAAAGCTGTAAAGAAGGGTTTCGATTTCACTCTGATGGTCGTCGGTAAGTTAAACTTTTTCATTCCTCTTTGTTTAGAGTTAACATTTTTGACAGATACCTTAGACTCACATTTCATATTGACATTTAATAAATGTTATGGGGTTAGTATCTAGCTGACATTTAAGAAGATTAAACCAAATTGAAGTCCCTTTTTTCCCATTTTTTTCGTAGGAGATATAAGGTCATGATATTAAATCGGGATAATTATTTTGTGTATTTAAAGTCCAACTGTTTCAGGGGAATCTGGCCTTGGGAAATCCACTCTCATCAACTCTATGTTTCTTGCTGATATCTACAGTGCGGATTATCCCGGACCGTCTCAGAGAATCAAGAAAACCGTTCAAGTAGAAACGAGTCGTACACTTCTTAAAGAAAATACTGTCAATCTTACACTGACAATTGTAGATACTCCTGGCTTCGGCGATGCCGTCGATAATTCCAATTGTTGGCAACCGATAATCGATTATATTCAATCAAGGTAAAACAATTTTTTTTAAATCAGTTTAACATTAAGTAGTATTACAATATTATAAAGTTATAAATTATTTTGCTTAACTTTTTTCCTCATTTGATCAACTTACAAAGAACTTCAATCATATTGGCACTTGAGTTTGTCTGGCCATAGTCCTCTTTATAAATAAATTAATACCATCCTGCTTGTGCCACAATTTGGAATATTTTATTTTGAAGGATTTGAATCCTTTTGATCTTTCTTTTGGTGGCAGTGTACCTTACTTCCATAGAGCGCAAGATTGTAGGAGAGAGTTGTTCAAGGGCGTCCTATTTTCTGCTTTTATCCTTTCTGCCTCTTTCTATTTAAGTAGTAACAAAACCTACTGGCAAGTATGTGCTTATTGTAGTTTGGAGTTTATATGGATGTTCCATGTCCTTTAGTCTGTCCTGATTCTAAAATATTATCTCTGCCTCATCGTTGGTGAGTGTGTAGATGGAAGTAGTTGGCCCTGGGACTGATCACCACTGATGGCAGCAATCGTGGATATTCCAGATGATAGTGGCGTGGCCCTGGGTTAGAATCCCAGCATAGCCCATGGCTTTTTAAATGAGAAAAACATGAAACAAATAATGTAAAGTGTTTCTAGCCCCTCTCCCACAACACCCAATGGTAGTTGGCAGTTAAGACCTCTTGTATGACTGGATTTACTTTAGGGAGACTACTGTGGCTGAATGGTTAAGCAAGTTGACTCCATTAGCCATGCCAGCGGTTCTTGGTTCCGACCAGTTCTCTGTGGAATAGAAACCTTTTCTTAACCTGCCATAGTTTGTCAGGAATTATCTATTTTTTGGAGTTTTTATTTAAATGCACATAGTTAATGCCAGCAGCTCTGACCGATGGTTACATTTACTATTATTTTTTACATACTTTATTATTTTTTAATGTATTTTAAATGCAAAATGTTAATTCAATTGATAAATGTTTATCTAGTTGCCAGCAGCTACAATTCTGCTTTATTTACTGTTGGTTTAATTGTTATTACATTGTACCCAGGTATGAAGAATTTCTAAATGCAGAGTCGAGAGTAAACAGAAAAACACAGGCCTTGGATACTCGGGTTCATTGTTGCTTATATTTCATTGCCCCATCCGGGCATGGTCTGAAACCTTTAGATGTAGAATTTATGCAAAGATTACAAGACAAAGTAAATATTATTCCAGTGATCGCAAAAGCCGATACCATGACTCCTGAAGAATGTGCTCATTTTAAGAAACAGGTAACAACATCAACAAATAATCAAAAACATATCCTGTAATCATTAATATAACCAACAGATTCTAAATGAATTGGCTCAACACAAAATTAAAATATATGAATTCCCTGATACCGAAGAAGACACCGAAGGAGGAAAGTTAAACGGTAAAAAACTAAAAGATAGAGTTCCTATGGCAATTGTTGGGAGTAATACTGTAGTCGAAGTCGATGGGAAGAAGATCCGAGGACGAAAATATCCTTGGGGTGTTGCAGAAGGTGAGAAAATTATCGATTATAAAATACCTTTTCTAGGAATTAATTTTTTTTTTTTAGTTGAAAATCTGGAACACTGTGATTTCATTGCATTGAGAGACATGTTAATAAGAACTCATTTACAAGATCTCAAAGACGTTACAAATAATGTCCATTACGAAAACTACCGATGCAGGAAATTGGCCGGCTTAGGTCAAGATCCTAAGCAACGTGCGTCTAATAAGTAAGTTTAAATCTTTCTCATTCTTCTTTCCTTTAATTTATTTTTTTATTATTATTAAATTTACATAAAAGGAAATTCAAATATGATAGGTTTGAATCTGGTTCTATCAACCAGAAATAATTTTTCATGTTGGTAATACCCCTGCCATAGTAGGTTAGGTGTTTTAAAAAATAATGCTGTGGTGAACAAGAATAATTTTTGTTAGTTCCCATTGTTTTTATATATTAAAATGATTCAGTGTTAATCAGATTGATCATTCTTTCTTAAATATTCTTCCTTTATTACTTGTAATTTTAAATTTGTAAGTAGTATAGTATAGAAAGTTTATATTTAGTAAAAATTTAAATTTTTTATTTATTTAGACTGTTTCCCTTTTTAGCTATTTATTAATGAGTTCATCACAGCATTTGTAATTATTGTCATATTTGTTCAAAATTTCTTGTCAGCTAGACAACTCACAACGTTGCCATATTGATTTATTTTCTGCACTTTTTTTAAAATCAATTACCAAGATTATTTATTCAGAACTCAATACAGCACAGGACATTCACGCCTACAATTGGAAGAATGATTTTTTTCTTTTAGATTTTTTTCTTTGCTTCAGCTTTATTTTTCTTTAAAATTTGTTTTTGAGGTTTGTTTAGTACATGTTTATTAAAAAGTTTGCTATATTTGGCTGTAAAAATTGTGTCTTTCCACAGGGTAGTTCTTACTGTTGGTTGTTTTCAATTTTTTTGATTTTGAGCATTAAACGTTCATCATTAGGTTAAAGGAATTACAAACACATCTCTCGACACGAATTGCAAGAGTGAACCTGCCAATCCACCACCATTGCAACATTCCCGTAAAAATAATGCCGCTCAATGAATGCGTGAAAAACATGAATTTCAACACACCTAAATATCATGTTGGCGCTGGATCGGGACACTCTTACAATTTATGTCGAGAGTTTGTAACTCCTTCAACCTGATGATGAGCGTTTAATGTTCGAAATCCGGATCATTGTAAATAACAAATCTGTGAGTAAGAACTATCTTTTGGAATGATTCATACCCATACTCACCCCACCTTCATCATTTCTAAAAATTGTATGTAGATTACATGATTGACAAAGGGAGTTTACAGTTGTAAGGTCACAGATTTCATTGGAACTTTTTTTTTACTGATACTAGGTCAAAAAATTTTTGTCCAAGGGTTCCATCCAATTAGCCCCAGGAACTAAGAAAAAAATTTTAAGGATAAAAATAGTTAAAAATTTCCAAACACATTTCCAAAAATGCCACTGCTCTCAGCTCTCTCAATCAATTTGGCTAAAATTTAGTTTGACGAAATGAGCCTTAGGAAGCCAGTAATAAAATGTTAATTATTGTAGTTATTCTGGCTCTCTGAAAGGCTAAAGTTAATTTTGTTGTAATTTTTACATCTAAAATATCTTTTTCTTAAAAACTATATTATATTATCTTGATATTGTTTTATATTATATTAAATAAAAATTAAATTATAATTTTTTATTTAATATTATAAAATATTAAATTATATATTATAGTAAATTGTAATTGTTATACTATTCTATAGCGTTCTATATAGGTTACTATTGGATAATAATTAGGAATAGGATGTTATTAAAATTTATTTTTTATCTTCACTGTGGACAGCACCGATACTTTTTTTTAAAGACTACTTTTTATGAAACTGTGTTTTTGGTTGTGTCCGTCTGTGGAATAGAGTGGGTCAAGATGATAAATATTTTTTTGTTGGCTCCTTGGGCATAACACTCAAACATGTGTCTAATATTTTAACATGTACTAACTTCACTTAAAATTTAATTAAAATTGATTGAATGATCTATGAGTAATTGCAACTTTAAGAATACAATTTTTGCACTTTTTGACCTAGTATCACTAAAAAAAAATATATATATATATATTGAAATCTGTATGACTATAGCCTCCCCTTGTGATTTTTTTCAAAATTATGTGCTGTAGGGAGTTTTTACAATTTTATTTTTGCAGAATATACTGATTTTTTTTTTTAATTCTTCGTTTATACCATTGTGTTTGTTTTTCAAATGTATGAAGTGATTCTCTTATATAACTGGTAAGCTTCCGAATAAAATTTTTGTTTTTAAATTTTCAAAATTTGTCTTAACGACTTTAAAAGTGTAAGCTTGCTGGTTTCTCATGCTTTTCTCATGTTTTCCTTCATAGTGTTTCCCAAACAATGATCAACAACACATTCATGACTGTATGGTAAGTATGCCTGCCTGTAAGTCTCTGTGTGTCTCGTGACTCTCACAGTATATTTCTTAAGAATGTTAGTAGTGGATTTTTTTGTAGTTTTCCCTTTCAAGTAGCATTAAAATGCTTAAAAATGTTTGATTTAAAAATTAATATGTTTATTTTATAATGTTAAAACAGTGTTATTTAAATAAATTTAAACAAATAAGTAATATAAATAATAAAACATTCTAGGGTTTAGAATTAACTTCCAAATATATGCATTATTATTTTATTCCTATATGAAAACACAAGAAATATTTTTGAATTATATATCTATAAACATGTCTTATTCTTGTTATGTGTAATTTGACAACTTGAACAAGAAGTTAGCAAGTTAAGAACAGGAGAAAAAAGAGAGTCTTCTTTGAAAGATGCGTGAATGAAAAATAAAATGCAGAATTTTCCATTTTATGCTGGTCCGTAACACATTATCTCTAAATTAACACTGCAATCGGATATATTCTTATAGTACAAGTAATGAGATTTACTTGTTTCAATTGATTTTTTATATTTCTAATTTTTTAAGTATATCCAATCACAAGTGAGAGGTACAGGCAGAGTTTTACCTAACCATTGTGTTATTTTAGCCTACATTGCCAGGAAAGCATAGCAATTACAAGTTATATTTTATATAAAAATATTAACTCCAGCAAGCTTGATTATGGATTATGATAAATGTAATTTAATTTATGGCTAACTTGTTTTGGCTTAATAATTATGAGCGACCTAGTTCAATGGTATAAATGTTAAAAACACGTTAAAACTATTGGAAATTCGCTTGGCTTTACATTCAATGCATTGACACTTTACGATTTTGCTGTCTTGAACATAATTTAAACAACAGAACATATTTGTTATAAACAAGTAGAAATATTAGTCATAGAAATTTTATTAATTTCCTTAGACTTTTAGACATTTTATGTATTTTCTATTTATCTTTGTTTTTTCCATTTTCGCATACATTAAAACTATATTAACCTCAAGGTTAAAAGGAGCCTTTGGTGGCAGTTGCCAATATTATAACCAATATTAGTCTATTCAGAATCCATCATTATCTAAATCGTTTTACCAAATCCAGCTTTTGGTTGTGAATCCTTCAAGCGTTAGCTTTCTTCTCCCAAGAGCTGTTTCTTGTTACTCGCAAAAAATCTCAGTTCTGAGTTTACATATTTCCTCCAGATTCAGCCAATGTCCAGTCAACATCATTCTAGTTCTAACTAGGTTTAATAGTTTGCCATTAGTTGGTGTGATGGTCCTTTGAATTTTTTCAAATTCTTCTGTCCTTCGAAGAACCTAACCTGGAGGGAATGTAGACCAGGACAGAAGCATCAAGAAAATTCATCCATTGTAGAAACCAGCGACAGAACTACTAAACCTTGTTCGGACAGGTATGATGGCAGGACTGCGTACTAGACACTGAAGACTCATTGGTAAAGTCCACAGCAGTTTGGAATGGCATCAAGGCCCTATCAGAGGATCAGACATTGAGGACAATAACAAAATTACACATGTTCTTGTATAAGGGCACACAGGGCAGAGGGGCAACTAAGATGCTGACAAATTGGCCAAGAAAAGAACCCCAGAAACCTTTTGTGGCATGCCAAACTGCCAAAAAAAGTATCCATCAGACAATGGATCTCCATTCTAAGACTAGAATAATAGTTGGCATGTGCTGTTGTCATGAAGAAAAGTGGAACTTGTTGGGGCAGAGGCTTAGGCTGAGATTCTTACTCCTGGGAAAGGAAAAGCCCAGGCCTTAAGGATACACAGGAGTCCTTTAAAAAATGTTTGGGATTTGGTGAAAAGCCTTAAGCTTAATGAACTCTAGATAATAATGGACATTGCACAATAGACAATAAATAGACCAATACTGGTCGTAATGAGGCCTCATTTTCTAATCCTAATCTTAATCTAGTGCATCTATTTTTGGCAATTTGGTACGCTGCAAACAGATTCAGTGCTGATGTCTTGGAACTTTCCATGGCCACTCCATTATCTTCATTGTCCCTCTGCTTTATATGCCCTTGTACAAATATTTTGTTTTCCCCTTATGACTAGGCCCCAAACAGCTCTGGACTTTACTACCGATGATGCGGTGGCCTTTAGTACTGTCTGGCTGTTCGTGTAGATTCAGTTGTTTTGTAATACCAGTTTTCTTCTGAAATTATGCTAAATGATGTCAATAAAGTAATTATTTATTAACATTTTCAAAACTGACAAAATATACTGTGAGAGGGACATGCATGTGTAGATTTTTGTTTTGTTTTGTTTTTTAATTGTAGGCGACTTCATTAATATCACTTATTTATTTTATAGTTATTTGTGTGGCACTTTTATTTTTTGAAGCTTGCATACAGAAATACTTCATGCTTTTTTTCTGTACTGGTTCAACCGTTAATAAGAATTTGATCGTAGATAGTAGTGCTATTTTTTCATTTAATTATAACCATTGGAAACTTATTAAATCTACACATGACAATTACCATTCTGGATTGTCTAATTCACTTTTTAAATTAATATTTTGGCTCGATACTTTCAATGTCTCCAATTCACTCGCAGTATACACTTTTTTTACACAAGCAATTTAGTTTTTTTTTTTTTTTAATTATAAGTAGTATAGTAACATGTATAATATGTTATTTTGATTATTTTCACAAATTTATACAATTTAAAATTTGTGATTTTAGGAACCCTCTGGCCCAGATGGAAGAAGAGAAACGAGAACATGATATAAAGATGAAAAAGATGGAGACAGAAATGGAACAAGTTTTTGAAATGAAAGTCAAAGAGAAGAAACAAAAACTATTGGATTCCGAGGCAGATGTAAGTTAAGTTCCAAGTTTTATCGGTCTATTGTGTAATGGCCTGGCGAGAAAGAAAGCGATCTGAGGTCTGCAATATGATGGCATCACATAAAACGTGATTGTGTGAGCAATCCAGCAAAACAACATTGCAAAATTCAAAGGAAAAGAACTTAGGTATTTGCAAATTAAACAAGAAAAACCCACCATCTGGTTTTTGCACGAAAAAATGGCCAACTTTGGAAATGCATAAAACGTTTAACAAGATGGCTTTTTAAATCGTTTTCCTAGCTTCAGTTATTCATCAGTAAATTCTAAAATTCGGGAACATGTTGATTTTTGCACTTTTTCAATTGAAAATTAAAAAATTAAATTAAAATTGAGCTGTGGAGCATTTTATTGCAATCGATATGAAGTTTTAATAAACTTCCAATTGGTCACCTTCCACTTTGCCCGATTTCTCAACCGTTTTGAATTACTCACGATTTTTGGGCAAAAATTTTGTTTTTTACATGCTGATGGAAAAAAAACCAATCACTCTTTCCCCTCTTTATTGATTTTGACAACCAGCCTGTCACGATAAAATCATGCTGGAAGGGATGATTTTCTGGCTCAGTCAGATATTGCTTCCTGCCACAACATATGTGTTCTGTCTTGCCAGGCATTAATCGAAGTTGAAGTGAAATTTTAAGAAGGAACAAATTTTACAGTTGCTCGCTTTTTCCCCCTAATAGCTGAGTACTTTTTCAGCTCCAAAGACGACACGAACAGATGAGAAAAACACTCGAGGTTCAAATCAAAGAGTTAGAAGATAAAAGGAAAGCTCTCGAAGCGGAAAAATTGGCATGGGAACAAAGCAATGGCGTCAGCCTCGAAGAACTCAGACGAAGAAGTTTGGAGAGAGAGTAAGTATTATTTTTAAGGTTTGATTTATTTAAGAAAATAGAAAAGACACTTTTAAAAAAATTAATTAATTTTATGATCATAAATTATGGCCGAATTATTTTTCCCCTGCTCTTAGTAACTGCATATTATGAGGGACGGGGATGGGATGTTAAGTGATCCAAGGTTTCTAATTTAATAAAGCTTATACATTTTGATATTGATTTAAATTAAGATTTATTTTATCAATTTTTTTAAATTGATAAATCAAATCAAGATTTGAAGGAATCTTCAAATAGTTGTGCCTCTTTTTACAACATGATCTAGATAAATTTCATTAATTCCACATTAAATTGTGTTTAAAATTTATCTTTTTACACCAGTCTTACCTTCTCAAACCGATTAATGTCATTTTAATATTTTTTTCAAGGGGCTCTGTGAAGTTGAGAGTGAGATCTGTTGACTCTTACTTCTGAGGATTTTGCCTATTTTTATGTATATATAAATCTTTTCAAATATAAGTTATAGTTAACCTTCTGATGAGCCCACCCTTGAATTTTACAATAATTTTTGTGCAAACAAGAAAACATTGGTTTTGTAATACTAAGTATATGTAATACTATTTTAACATAAAAAAATAAGACTTTAACCTTACACATAATATTTGGCAGAACTGATAAAAATGGTAAGCAATTCAGTTAGAAATAAAAATTTTTGGTTCAAAATATCGGGTTGTAAAATAAGCCTGTAGTTTTTTTATTATTATTTTTTTTTTAATTCACTGAAAATTTAAAAGAGACATGTGTATCAATTTAACCATTTTGTTCGACTACTCGTCCTCCCAGAACTTGTCAGGTTTTTGATTGATTGATATGATGTATTTTCTGCTGTCTTTGAGTGGGGTCAAGTTTTTCCCATTAATAGTGTTTTCCAGAGCCTGGAATAAGTGGAAATCTGAAGGAGCAATGCCAGGCAAATACGTTGGGCGGGGCAACACATCCTGGACAAGCTCTAATGATTTCTAGTGCATCTTGGGGCATTATCCTGGTAGAAAACAATTCCTTTCAATAAGTCAATGCCGGTCAATTTTGGTCAATCACTGACTTTAATCACTCTAGTCGTGGACAGTATACCCAAGAATGAACAATTGGGTTGGGTAGAAAAATCTTGTAAATAAAGCATCCCCCTTTTCAACCCCACCAAATGCAAACCTTCGGATTCAACAGTGGGTGCATTTTCTCTGGGATTTTCTTCCCTAAACATTGTAAAGGACTTTTCATCCCCAGTTATCAATCTTTTTAAGGAAGGTTAACTGTCCAGTTGGTTAGAACACTATTCTTCTGAAGGTTAGCTATCCTGTAGATTAGAACAGTACTCCTTTCATGAAGGCTAGCCTTTTGGCTGGTTAGAACACTTCCTCCCATGAAGGTTAACCTTCTGGCTGGGCTTGTTAGAACACTATTCCTCCCTTGAAGGTTAACCTTTTGGCTGGTTGGAACACTGTTCTCCCCTCGAAGGTTAGTATTCCGGCTGGCTAACACTTTCTTCACTGAATGTTAGTCTTCTAGCTTGTGAGAACAATATTCCTCCTCTGAAGGACCTTTTGACTGGTTATAAAACTTTTCCACCAATAAAGGTTACTTTCCAGCTGGTTAGAGTCAGTGAACTCATGTTGAATTGGCACAGGGTCACTTACTGGGTCTAACTCCATTCACCATTCAAATGCTTTATCATTTTGTTTGAATAATCTTAAAAACCCACGAGTGGAGACAGACCCAGTAAGAGACCCTGTGATGGTTCAACATGACTCGCTGACGGTTAACCTTCTTGTTCGTTAAAATACTATTCCTCCTTTTGAGCGATAAATATGATGTTTCCTGACGTCCTTAAGTGGAGTCAAGTTTTTCAAATTAATAGAATTTTGTAGAGACTGGGATAAGTGAAATTCCAAAGGGGCAATGTCAGGCGAATATGCAGGGTGGGGCAGCACATGCTCAATGATTTTTGGTGCATGTTGGTGTTTATCCTTGGTATGTAGGCTTTTGGAGTTGTTAACGGGGAGGGGGCACACCATTTTCCCCAGGATTTTCTTCTTTGGACATTTTTTTTTTGCCTACCAAAGATTGAAATTGAATAACGGTTGAATGACGACCTGTGCGCTTTGCCATTTCCAAATCAGTACTTCTGCATCTAAACCACTGAGACATTTTCTCCTAAACCGTCATCACTACACATCACAAATTTTCCTAGCAGCTGAGCTGATGTGTTAACCTTTTTCAGATTGGTAAACATTAATCACTAAAAAACAAAATAAAAAAAGCTATGAACTTATTTTACAACACAAGCTATATGAGTGGTCATTCCAAGATGAAAGTCCCTGCATCTGAGGTGTGCGCACTCATCGGAAGGTTAAATATTTTCTTGCAAGAACATGTTTTATAACTGTAAATTTTTTATAACTCAAAGCGGAAAAAATCTCACCATATCAAAGAAATCTTGTGGTTATAACATTTAACAACAAAACCCCACATTCCTATCACCTTAATTAGCATGAAACATTACAATATTTTTATTAATTCTTTTGTTGTTGTTTTTTATGCCCATGTTTTCTCGTGCATTTGCGTGTGTGTGTGTTGCCAAACGAGAAAAATAAAATACAGTGCACTAACATCAATGTTAAATCTTTTAACTTTACAATGTTTTAATTAAAAAATGTTGTTTTTTCAGTACTAAAAATTTATATTTCGACTAACTAATTCAATATGAATTTGTGTTTTTGACTATATTGCACTCCGCTCAGTGCACATTAATAGCATCTGTTGGCTTTTAACATTTTTTTAACAATTAAATTATTGTGTGTATATATTCTTGTTGGCTTTTATTTCATTTTACTAGCTTTTATTTTGTGGCATAGTAGCTTGACTGATGTAAGTAGATAATTTGTAGCCAATCTCTTTGTACTACATAAAAGTCAAGGCATTTTTAAACAGGATTATTTGATTAAGACAAATCTTTGTTTATATAGTTAAATTTCTGCCCTTTTCTTAACTTGGCCACGTTCATTCAAGTACATTCCCTCAAAAATATATATGTTCTCCTTGTAACCTAATCTGTACATAATGCACATATATGTACAGAATTTATATAAACTCGTTTGTTACCTGGTATTGTTCGTATTGTCAAGATGATCCAGTTATTTGAGGACAAGTCCGGATTCAAATCAATTATGTACTTGAAAAACTGTAAAAAATTATACCCTTTCTCTTGATTTACTTTTTATTCATTGGAAGATTTATAAAATGTACACTGTCTTGACTGAGAAAGAAACAAAAGAAGCCAAAGTGTGCCATTAAATGTTAATGTTGAACTGTTGTGTTGAATCATAATACAATTCTAATGACTATGTGTTTTTTAACATTTACCAGGAAATTAAGGTGTTTTACATTTCCATGTTTTTATCATATATCTGTTGATTGTTGGTTCATTTTTCTTCCCGATCACTAACCTCATACTATTATTTTCTTCACAATATATATGGTTTTTCTTCTGAGTTTCACCTCACTTCAATTTTCACCATTTAAATCTTGTATAGTTCTTCAAGGTAAGTCAGTATAATGTTACTACATCTGATTATATTTGAATTTTCTTTTAATGAAAAAACTAAATATAAACTTACGAAATGATCTGCTGGAAAAAATATCCGAGTGTATTCTTCTTATTTGACAACCTTTTATCTTAATCTTTCAATGCCTTATCGAGAAACAAGAAATCAGCCAACTTGACAAAAATAACAAAAATCAGACAGACAGAAAAGAAAGATACAAACAACATATAAGATCATTTAGGTATAATAACGCAACTCACAGAAAACCGTCATGAACCCTCAGAAATAAAGACAAGCATGAAACTATTAAATGAAAAGTATTTTATAGTAAAAAAATCAAGTGCACAAACTAACAACACACTGACGATAGCGAAATGTCAAAGCAGATCAACCCAGCAAGGATAGGCAGAAGAAACTGATTAATAACAACCAAATGTCAGATTCAGTACCCCACATACAATATTGAGAATTCTCACAAATAGAAAAATAAAACTGACTATCACAAAAACCAATTGGAATAATAAAACCCAGTCTTAATTAACCAAAGGCTCGGACAAACAGAAAATGCAATACAATGACCACACCTCTCAAAACGTTTGTAAAAGAGACTTGAGCTTAGAAAAATCACACAGACCCAACAATGAAAATGACAAAATGTCAACACTCATCTGAGGATCAACACAGCAAGGATAGGCAGAAAAAAAAGATGTGTAACAACCAAATTTCAAGTTCGGCATTCCACAAACAACATTGGGAATTCTCAAAAGTTCTCACAAATAGTAAAAGGACCGACTATCACAAAGGTCGACCAGAACAATAACTAAAATTCAGACTTAATCAATCAAAGGCATGGATAAACAGAAAATGTGAATACAACAACCCCCGCCTCTAACGGCCTTTATAAAAGAAACTTGAGTTTAGAAAAATTTCACAGACCCAACACTGAAAATGCAAAATGTCAAAACACAACTGACAATACAGCTAAGGGTAAGCAGAAAAAAAAGATCAGTAATGACCAAATATCAGGTTCAACCCCCAACAGGCAACATGAAGAATTTTCACAAATAGAAAAAGGACTGATTATCACAAAGACCAATCCGAATAATGAATAAAACCAAGACTTAACAAAGGCACTGACAAACAGAAAAAAAAGTGCTCCTCACTTCTCAACACCTTGTAGAACAGACTTGACTTTATAAAAATTGCACATTCTCAAGAATAGCACAATGTCGATACGCATCATACAGGCAAACCCAGCAAGGATAGGCAGGATACAATGATTGGTAACAACCAAATATTAGGTTCAGCACTCCATGGACAACATTGAGAATTCTTACAAATAGAAAAAGTATTGACTATCACAAAGATTGACCAGAACAATAAATAAAATTCAGACTTAATCAACAAAAGGCATGTACAAACAGAAAATACAACAACGGTACAACCACCCCATCTTTCACAACAATTATAAAAGTGACTGGACTTAGAGAAAGCAAACAGACCCAACACTGAAGACTGTGAAATTGCTACATGTGAGATTTTCTCCTTGAGGCCTGTTGGAAAACCTGTACTTAGTAATTTCCGAACATCTTGGTCTGTCAGAATTATGCTGTAGTTTCCAGTGGTGATTTTTTATCCAGAAGACTTAGATGTTGAGAATAGAAATGATTAGAAATGACAAACTTGTCCTACACGATGTTCAAAAAGGATGAAAAATGAACTCAAAAACTTGGAATTATACAAACACAACACATTTAACACTAAAAAAAATCATAAACACACAATAACAACAATTCAAATACATCCCAAGACTTAATAACTGAAGACACCAAAAAACAAAGAAAATGTTGATTTTCCCACCCCTCATGAGCCTGTAATAGAGATTTGGCTTAAAAATCACACAGACACACTGAAGATGGTGAGACATACCTGATGGACCAAAACTAGGATAGGCAGACCAAAATGATACATAATGACCAAATTACAAGTTCATCAATGGAGAAATCTCGCACTGTAATTTCCCTTTCACTATATCTTACAAAATGTAACTGTACAAATCAAATTTATTTAACATTCAAATGGTAGGTAAGAAATAGAAAAAAAGGTTGGTCTTTGTCTTTGCTATACTGTGGCCATCTTTTGACAATTTAACCCTCCCACCTGCAAATTAATTGGAATATATATTGTATATTTATCATTAAAATAAGATTTAGCAATAGCGTTACAGTCCTTGGAAGTGTTGGGACAGAGACTCTGTTCTAAGAACTTTGAAACCATTTATTAAAAACTTCATTATGTCAATTTGTAGACATCTTTAAGATGATTTTGCCTAGATAACCTACTTAGCACATCCCAAGCCCTAACCCTACTCAACCTAACCTAGCTTGTCAGTAACCCTAATCATACATAATCTAACTTAGCTTGTCACAAACCCTAACTCGTCCCTAACTCTAACCTTACTTATCCTTATCTAGCTCGTCCCAAACCCTAACCTAACCGAAACTAGCTTGTTCCATAACTTAATGATGGCCTTAAAATATGTCGGCAGAAAATAATTGAATTGGTTTTTTCATCCACTTGACCATACTGAGATCCAAGTTATTTGTGAATAAAAAAGTGCTCGATCTAACATTTTAAACATTAGAATAAGAGGCATTAGTGATACATTTATTATCCAAGAAATGAATCTATAAAGATAACGGTATGAAATTATATTGAATAAAGGGACTCGAGTGGCTGAGTGGTAGGGGGGGGGTCCTACAAGTTGCCATGCTAGCGGTTCTGGGTTCAAATCCTGGTATTTTAGTTAAGAATATGAAAAATGTATTGTAAACTGGTTCTGACTCCTCTTCTCTGATACCCAGCGGTTTGTTGGACGTTAAAACCTGAATGACAGAAATTACTGTAGTGTATGTTACATTTTGCATATTTGTGAAAACAGGCATAAAATTGTGAAACGAAAACCAAAATAATGGCACTTGATTTTATACACTTTCATAAACATTGTGGGTAAAAAGTAGTACAAAGAAGATCAAGGACAATTTTTACAAATAATTTATATCGGTTATTTAATTTAAATGGCTTTTGGTGTAGTATTTTAAAAAAATACTGTTTGAAGGGAACAGGTTTTTTTTTCTTCATAAAGTGTAGATCTTCTATTGCATGATGTTTTGTTTTGTTTTGTTTTGTTTTCGAATGTAATTGGATTGTGCTAAAGTCAATGCTAAAAAGGTATGAATGTTTTTTCTTTTTTTTTTTTAAATCTACTTTTATATCTATTTTTGTCTTGATTTAGGGAAAAAACAGATATAACAGAAAGTAGAAGCAAATCAGTTTATTGCTGAGTTTTTATGATCAATCAGGTCTTTAATTAATTATAATCAATACATAAAATGAGAAAATAAATGTCTGAAAGTCAACTCAGCAATAAAATAATTAGCTTCTATGCCATCCTTTCATCTCAACCTTTTACTTTTATAATAAAAAAATGTTGCAGACCCCATGAAAGAAATCTCAGTATAAAATTTATTGTTACCGTAAAAAATTACAGAATGACTTAATTTGCAACATTTCAAAGTGAGACATAGGTGTATAAGATAACATTATACAGTTTAACAAGAATTTCCATTTAAAAAAAAAACTTCAAAAAAACATTTGGCCAAGCTACTAAAATTTATGAAGTTCATGAACTCCAGTTGTGATTTTTTTATTTTGCTGTTAAAAAATAAACTAAGGACAAAGATGATTGACAAAAGAAAAAAATTAATTAATTAAACAGTAAACATTCATAACTTGGTTTGTTCAAAATGCACTTTAGAAAGAGAGGGTGCATATAATTCCGCCAGAATGTATGCGCTTACGTTGTACATTGTTTGAAGCTTTTTGTTTTAGCTTTCATTAAAAAAAAGTTTGTTTATTGTGCCATTGGCTTATTTATTATATTTATGCATGTTGATTTATGAAATTTGGGTTGTGCATGTATATGTTGTATTTAGGTGTCCTGTGATACGAGCACGTTCAGCAACAGTATCTAGAAGACATTCATTCCAGCACCGTAGTGAGTGCAAACAGCAATAGCTTCTCTCTCCTATGTTTGGTAGTCATTTACCATACTTACTGTAATTAAGTTTATTTTTACAGATTTTTACTATGAATTTTGTATAATAAATAAAATGATTCAGTCCCGTAACAATGTGCAGGCTGTTATAACATGCAATTAATAAGGTTTTTTTTTTAGCTGAGGCAAGAATCTTTAGCATGATTTTTACAGGTTCAAACATGAAAATGCTTTATCTAATACTGAATAACATTTAGATTCTCAAATATGTCATTTCATTTTTTCTCCTAAAGGTGTGTTCTCACGACTAAACTTTTACTGATTTGCCAAAGTCATGGTTCCTGTTCAACTTTTACACTTAGCATGTTGTGTTGTGTTTTGTTTAGAAAATAGTGAAAAAGACAAAAATGGACCTGAAAGTGTGGTTTAAATCATTTTAAAAAATTTTGTAAACTGTTTTATTTTTCTATAGTCCGTGGCGTTTGAGTGGTTAAGGCGTCTGACTCTTATACCTATGTTAGTGGTTCTGGGTTCGAATCCTGGCATATTCCAAGGTTTTTTTTTAATTGAAAATAATATGAAAACAATATTGTAAAGTAGTTCTGACCCTTCATCCACAACATCCAATATTAGTAGATGGATGTTAAGACCTCCTGTATGACTGTATTTACTTTAGTGGGAGTGGTGTAGTTGAATGGTTTAAGTCATCTGACGTATAAGACACAAGGTTGGTATGAATCCTGACATATTCCAAGGGTTTTTTAACTGAGAATAATATGAAATTGATGTAAAGTGAATGTTGGTCATTAAGACCTCCCGTGTGATAGGATTTACTTTAGGACTGCTGTGGCTGAATGGTTAACCCATCTGAGTGATAGCCACTTGAACAGTTCTGGGTTCCTGACATATTCCATGGCTTTTTAACCAAGAGTAATATGAAAGCGATGTTCCCCCTGACCTCAACACCCAACGGGTGGTTGGACATAAGACCTTCTGTACGCCAGGATTTACTCTAGGACTGCTGTGGCTGAATGGTTAAGGCATCCGACTGTTAACCATGTGACCGGTTCTGGGTTCAAACCCTGGCATACTTAATGGCTTTTTAATTGAGAATTAATACAAAAGTAGTTTTGTTAAGTGATTTTCACCAGACTTACTATTGCCGATTTGAAGAACAATATTAAGACGGTTAGAACCGTGTATAAGAAAAAACATTCAACAATTTGCGTAATCAAAAGTTGATCAATTGTTGAAACGTGTTGACAAAAACTAATTTAAGCAAAACAGTGAGAATGCATCTTAAGTGAAATAACAAATATTATCTACATGTTTCGCTTATACTAAACAAAAGTACATATCTGAATATAAAATTACTATTTGTACAGGCTTATCATTGTTTCTTTTCTTTTTTGGCAGTCTATTGTGAACTAAAAAAGCATATTTGAAATGTATTAGAATACATATACATTGGGTTGTAAAATAAGTCCGTATCGTTTTTTGATGGCATATTCAATAAAATTTCAACATTTTATTCCACTACCTGTTGCCGTCTTCCCTGTAATTTTATAATTCTGTCCTCCCAGCACTTGTCAGATTTTTGAATATGAATATGATGTGTTTTCTGTCGTCCTAGAGTGATGTCAAGTTTTTTCCATTAATAGCATTTTCCAAAGCCTGAAATTATTGAAAATCTGAAGGGGCAATTTCAGGCGAATACGCTGGGTCAGGTAGCACATCCAAACCAAGCTCCAATGATTTCTGGTGCATTTGGGGGTGTTATTCTGGTGGAAAACAAATCCTTTGTGATAATCTAATGCTGGTGGTTTTGGTGAATCACTGACTTTCAATTGCTCAAATCGTGTGCAGTGTACACAAGAATTAACGGTTTGATTGGGCAAAAAACTCATAATAAAGCATCCCCTTCCCATATGACCAAATGCACACCTTGGAATGCAATGAAAGGTTGCTGTTTCCTGAACAATGTCACAAAGGACTTGATATCCGCAATTATCATTCTTTTTAAAGCAAGTTAGCCTTCCTGCTGGTTAGAACACGTTCACCTATGAAGATAGGTGATCCAGAGGGTTAGAACACTTCTTCCCCTGATGATTAGCAGTCTGGCTGGTTAGAACTCTATCCCTCTCCTAAAGGTTAGTCTTCCAGCTGGTTAAAGCACTTCCTCCCCTGAAGATTAGCCATCTGGCTGTTTGGAATACTAGGCTCTGAACATGTGAACAGTGGTGCTTGAGAGATACCAGCTGCACAAGGAGCTAGACATTACAACATACATCAAAAAAGCTTGGTTCTGATGGAGAGAAAAGGTTGCTAAAGAGGCCACTTACTCTTCAATTGACTTGGTGGATAAAACGACCTTACCGAGTTGGGTATCCAATGTTCGAAAGCAAAGGCACAAGATAGGAATGGATAACACTTGTGACCAAGGCCTGGGTCGGTTGGGACTAGTGCTAATTGTAATAATCATATATCAGAATTTCCGCTTTTGACCTGAACAGATAGTGTTTTCTCCTAAAGCATCACCATACACGTCACAAATTTTCCTTATTAATTTGAGCTCCGGTTTTTCCTTTGTAACAGTTACAGTTACAAAACTGTCTTACAAAAACACTTTAACTAATCATTTTTTCAGAATGATTAAACAATAACTAAATAAATAGTTCTTCAAGATAGAAGCAATAAAACAGTTATTAAAAAATACCATGGACTTATTTTACAGGTCAATAGAACACATAAATTTTTATTGTCATTTGTATATAAATAAAGAAAGTTTCCCATGTAATAATAACGGTTCAGATTAAATTTATGTTTTGCCTTTAAAGTCTTTTAATTTTATTGTAGTATTATTTTAGAATAGCTTGTAAACATTGTTTGATTTTTTTTTTTTGCTTTCAGTTCAGTGGATGGCAAGGAAAAGAAGAACAAGAAGAAGGGTTTATTTTGAACTGAATATTTTTAAATGTGCCAATTTAGCAATCAGAGAATTTGGTTCTTGCTCTACTAGTCTCTTAAACAATGTACATAAAATTACCTTTCCAAAACTCTTTGTATTAACTGTATTACTTATTTAAAAACCAAAAAAAAAATTGGCAGATTTTTTTATATATATATTATTTTTGTTTCATAATTGGTGATACGCTTGTAAAGGTCCATTTACGTTAAGTTGATGTTAATTTATAACAATTCATTGACTACAAAATACAATATAAAATGTATACAGTATTTTCTAAAATACAGAAATTGAGAAATTATTTTGTAATTAGAAAATTTCTTAAATATTTTTAATTGCAACTTGGAATTTTAGAATAACTGTTTTTAAGTTTAAGTTAACTTCATAGATAATGTAAATATACAATTTGTAGGATCTTAGGATAAATAATCAGTATTCTAAGGTTTGGATTATATTAATAATGATTTAATTGGAGACACAGATTCTTTTTTTCACTACTTAAAAGTCATCAGTGTTTAAATATAACAGTCTCATGGGTTTCAACTTTCAACAGGAAGATGTAGCATTATCTAAATGTTTTTCCATTTCTAAGAAAATTACATATATTTATTTTATGCAGAGTTTTTAATTTTGAGTATGTCATCTGCAGATTTACATAACAAATTTGTAGTCACTTTTTTTTTTTTTTTTTTTTTTTTTCCATTGCCTAAGAGATCTTGTGTTACATTTAACCAAACTTTTGTAATGTATTATTAAAATTAATTTTTGTTTTTAAGTGTACTTATATGTTGTGATATCTGAGTATCACTTATTTATTGTGAACTGAAGAGAAAGTTTTTCTGGATTAGTTTTAACGTAGGAAATACGTTTGCACTAATAAATTGTCAATAATGTCAACTAAACTTTTTTCCAGACAAAATTTAATTTGAATGGTACTATTTTCTTGATTATCGGTATAACGAATGAATTGACTAGGCAGCAATAAAAACAAAGAAGCAACGAATATAATTCACTTAAATAAGATTTTTTAAATTATAGCTTTGTTAACCTTAGTTCACTTAAATATGCTTTTTGTGTTTTTCTTAGTGACTATAAAATGGCTGTGTAAGCACATATCTTTTTTTAATTAACTTCTTGTAAATGATTTAGTACAATTTTGACTGCCTAGTTTGTATTAAGAAATTTGTCCTTTTTTTAAATTAATTTTGCTGTTGATACTGTATTGTCACTCATTTCTTAAGATAGACATATATTAATTTTATTTTAAATATGGTTTATTTTCACACATCCATTTGATTTTTTTTCTCTTCTAATAATTGAACATAAATAGGAAAGATATTTTCATTTTTATTCAAAGTCATTTCATTACCACCATTTAAAACAATATTTATTTGAACACGTTCAGTTGTAATTTGCACCTCTCGGACAACAAATTTTTAAAAGAATTAATTTTCTTATGTATTACGGCTTGACAATTTTCCTCCCCTGTAAATTACAAAATTGACCTTCCACAAAGGTAAACCTTTCAGCATGTTAGACCACTATTCCTCCCCTGAAGGTCAGCAGTCCAGCTGGTTAGAACACTATTCCTCCCATAAGGTTAGCAGTCCAACTGGTCAGAACACTGTTCCTCCCATAAAGGTTAGCCTTTCAGCTGGTTAGAACACTATTCCTCCCATAAGGTTAGCAGTCCAACCGGTCAGAACACTGTTCCTCCCATACAGGTTAGCCTTTCAGCTGGTCAGAACACTATTCCTCCCATAAGGTTAGCAGTCCAACTGGTCAGAACGCTGTTCCTCCCATAAAGGTTAGCCTTTCAGCTGGTTAGAACACTATTCCTCCCATAAGGTTAGCAGTCCGACTGGTCAGAACACTATTCCTCCCTTGAACCTTTCGGCTGGTTAGGACACTTTTCCTCCCATGAAGGCCCCCCAAATTGAGCGTGTTAAATTAATATTATTTATACTTAAAACAAAAGTCTTCTATTGATGTTTAAAGTGAGTTGGAAAATGAAATTGACTAACTTTACCACTGTTTACTGACATCTCGCAATTTGGTTTTTAGAGTCTTGCTTCAGTTTTCAGTGAACATACAAGTCTGTATTTATTTATTATTAATATTATTTTGTCACATGAAAGTTAAGTATTATTTTCAAAGCTTTTGGCAAATTGCAGTTAAATGGAATTTTTACCAAAATACACATAATTTTGACTAATAAGGTCCACTATGCATTTACTATTCAATGTAAAAAAAATAAATATAAATAAAAAATTTAAAAAATACATTCTAAGGATAATTAAAAATATTTTACAAAACTCATTCCATATTGTTTTAGTGTATGCATGATTTCTATTATATATAATACAAATAATACCTTAAAATCTCTCGTCCTATAGGACTTTTTCTGTTTTTTCTCTAAGAGAAAAATAATAGGATTTGTAAATTACAAATAGCAATTTTTGAAAAAAAATTTCATGATATTAATAGCAAACGTTAGATTATTAGAATGTTTACAGACATTTGTATATGTACAATATAATATAACAATTTTGTTTAAATTTTATTTATCCATTAATATTTATTTTATATTTTTGTACATGGGGTGTAAAGATATATATATATAAGAGAAAACGAAAACATTTAACTTCAACCTTTGCATTTATTGAAGGATTACATTTGTTTCAAAATAAATTATTTTATGATTAGAATACATAAGAGTAGATAATTTATTTAACCCTTTTATTGTTATTTTTTATTTTTTTAAACAAGATTATCCTTAATCTCTTGGTTTACAATATTTTTCCATTTTCTTTTGGTGAATCAAAGGTGCTTCCTTCCAGTGTCACTCTTGTGTCAAAACAAACATTTATGGTTTACCATATTTTTTCCAACATGGATTTATTTAATGTTCAAATTGTACTTAATATATAAATGATTAAAGGAAAAAGAAATTTATAATGTGACAATCTGTTTTATTGATCTGGTAAATAAACAAAAATCTTTATTTGACCATTAGTTTTATTAAAACAGTTTTTTTATTTTTTTCATATTTGTGTTTGGACGGAATCAATACATTTCAAATAAATTATGATCATGTCACTGACAACATTAAAAAACAAGCATATATTTTAAATTAAGTATTAAAAATTGTTTAATGAGGACTACATTTCAAATTATAATTTTGTCTCGTACTCTTCTCTTACTAGTTGGATACTTTCTTGGCCTGAAAAAGTTTAAAACAAAGAATAAATCATAGTTTAATCGGGTTTCCAAAAGCATACATTCAACAAGGCCCAACTAAAAAGGAAAACGCCTCCAAAGATTTTTTCAATAAAATAGTAAGCCACAAAACACAATTGACAGAACACAATAAAGGTTGCCCTCAGGGATCTGTTCTAAGCCCTCCTAATGATCATAGATTCCAACATAATAATGAAAAAAACTAGTGGATATTTGAGCCAAGTTTGTGGAAGTAACAATCAAGGCAAGCTTGGAAAAAAAACTGAAGGAAAAGGCATGAAAGCGAAATGAAAAGTCTGTGCTTGCGGAAGGAAGATATCATTTGAAGTCAACGTACAGATTAGTATAATTCGTTAGATGTTTAAGATTATAAGCTCCCATCGAATCCTCTGTAAACAACACATTTGTTATCAAAGAGGAGATAAGGAAGGAAACTAACAGCATACAGAAAGGGAGAAGCAGCTGGGAGATATGGCCCAATCCCAAGGTTCTTGACGGTGGTTTAGAAGGAAATAGGGTGACTGTTAATAATAAGGAAGGAATAGAGGAGAGAACTAGATCCAAACACAATAGTCTGGGGCATTTGAATGTTTGAGTTAAGCTCATTTTCAGTGGCCCAGGAGCTAATTGAATTTGTCCTCCTGAATTACAACATGATGTATAGGAGGTGAGAAAGAACCACCAAGAAGAATTTGAGAGCATTAAGTCATTAATGTAACAGGCTTCCAACACAACCTAACCTAATGGCTCAAACCCTAACCTAACCTAGCTTGTCCCCTAACATAACCCTACCTAACAACTCATCCCCGACCATACCTAACCTAACCCTACTTCATACATAACCCTAATGGGTGGGTATTTTACATTGGACAATAGCAGTGTGTCAGTGTTGATTTTTAGAAAAGCCAGAGAACAGCAAGGATGTTTTGAGTTTTCTAAGTAAGACATTTGTAAATGGACTAATTTTTAAGGCAAACCCAACTTAACTTGTCTCTGACCATACATAACCTTACCCTATCTCATCCCTAACCCTTCCTAACCTAATCTAGCATGTACCAAACCCTAACTTGTCTCTCACCCCCTAGACATTTGTATATAGACTAATTTTTCAAGACGTTTAACAAGTTGGAGAAGGTATTGGACATAATTTATACATAGACATTTAACCCTGACACAGAGCAAGCAGAAACAAAGCCTGACTTACTGTGTTAACTTGGGAGCTGAGAGAAAAGGGCTTTTCATTGCATACAGGAGCAGCATGGGCGAAAAAACTACATGGTAAGAAAATTTTCTTCCATCCAAAATCTTAAAAAATCCAAGTTCTTGTTTACACGACATCCAAGGGGGTTTTAAACCCCTTTCGGCCCCAATAGGTTTAGGGTCTCCTTTAGGTACAAAGGAACTGTGAACTCCACGATGTGGGAAAAAGTATGGTTCTGCCTGTATTGCCACCCATTGCCGAAATACCAAGTGAAGATTTTAAAAATGGCAATTTTAATAAATAATTTATATAATATATATCATATTTACTTTCTAGATACGAAGCGAGTTGATGGTCCTTGCGCTCGATAGCTAATAACTTAGGCGTTTTGCCAAAGTTGTCTGGTTGAGTCAATGATGCACCAGCCGCAACCAGCATACAACAGATGCCGCTGTGGCCATAAAACGTTGCTTTATGCAATGCTGTCTGCCCCCTGGGTAACAAGTTAAAGTTATTGATTTAATAAAAAAAATTCATGAACATAAAAAGTAGTCAAACTATTTTTTTCTTACTGCAACATTGTGGAAAAGTTTCAAACCCAGTGGTACAGAAGTTCAAAAACTAGGTTGAAACATTTCACTATTTTATGTTCCGTTTACTGTGGATTAGGCACAATATAAACTTTTTCTCATAAGAATTACAACTGACAAACTCCATCTGCAAATGACCTAACCCAAACTTAACTCAGCCAAAACCCTAACCCTAACATTACCAAACCTAACTTACTCTTTCCTGACCACACCTTATCTAACACTATCTTGTCCCAAACCCTAACCTACCATGCCCCAAACCCTAAACTAACTTGTACCAAACTCTAACCCTAATATTACCAAACCTAACTTAACTTGCTTTGCAAATGATGCTTCTACGCTGCTTTTAGTAGCAATCCGGATTTTGAACTTTAAATGCCCTTCGTCAAGTATTGCTACTAAAAACAGTTTGTGAGTCGAACCATCCTTTATAAACAATGAATTGACATACACAACCTACCTCAATTATTTCTAATATCTTAACTCAACCCCAGCACTCACCCAACCTAGCTCGACCCAAACCCTAACCTAATCTAGCTCACCCCGCACACCTTAACCTAATCTAGCTCATGCCTAACCTTAACAATACCAAATCTAACTTAACTCCTCCCTCATAATCCTATCTTGCCCTAAACTGTAACCCTAATCTACATTAGCTCCTCTCTAACCCCAACCTTACCAAATCTGACTTAGCATATCTCTAAACCTATTCTGCCTAACCGGTCCAAACATATACCCTCACCCAACCTTGTTCGGCACAAATCCTAATGTAACCTAGCTCGTGTCAAACCCTAACTCTACCTAACCTAACTAGCTTCCCTTACATTCTACCCTAACACCACCTAGCTCATCCCACAATCCCTAATCCTTCCTAATCTAACCTATCTAGCCCCTAACTTTACCAAACCAAGTCCAACTCGTCCCTTACCCTAACCGTATATAATCTAACTTAGAATCTTATAAAAATGGTATGTGAAAATCTATGTGAAAATGGTAAAACAAATTGTGTATCCTGCCGTTACACGTTAAAATTTGACTTAGAAACGCTGGTGAAGGTTTTGTAATATCTGACATATTATTTTTTCAATGTCTGACCTTATTCCGAACCGATTTTTGAATGGTATTCCCCATTTTTCATAAAACCAATTGGACTTGATGAATCTGCAAATGAAAATGTAGTTACCATTTGGAAAAAAACTTCTTTTTCTAGGTTGAGCAGTTTTTGAGAAAACCAGAGGTCTCTAGTAAGTTGACATTCTGTATATCTGTGAGATTTGTTAGACGTACTAACCAACATCCCTGAGAAGATGAAAAACAAAAGAAGCCAGCAAGTTCTTTGTCGTTGTTGTAAAATATTGAATGAACATATCTTATGGTAAAAACTGTTTCTTGAACCACACTTACCATAAATTTTAATTAAAAGAAAAAAATTTAAATTCACCCACCTTTCGTTGTCCACCATGTCAATTATCGAATAAGGAGCACAAGCAATTAGGTACTTGACAATGTTTTTATGACCGTTGCGAGCAGCATAATGAAGCGCAGTCTGCCCAGAGGAGTCTATAGAGAGCAAAGAGTAGCCTTGCTTGTGCAATCCTACTAGCTGAACAATTTACAAGTTTAATATAAAAAAAAACAGTCAAAGAATCGTTTCATTGTGTGCTTAATGATACGTACTGCTCTGATGTCACCTTCTTTTGCTGCTTGAATCGTACTATCAGTTGTTTTCTCGAGAAGTATGCTTCAAATAAAAATACACATAAAATAGACAAAGAGGCTGAAAGAAGGATGAAAAGGACCAACAAAAAGCGATTTCATTGATTATATCACCAAAATACAACAATACACTATAATTGTAAAAGAATTTGTGCCAAGATTGGTCTACTCCAAAATGGAGGAAAGCGTAAGGTTATCACGAGTCAGCCTGTTGACAACCTGCCGCACCAAGACCAACATATCTATCTTGGCTGTTCGTTAAGGCTAAAGCTTAGATAAGTATCTTGTTGGCCTTGGCTTTTCTTCTCCTAGGTGGTTTCTTTCCTGATGTGATCAACACTAAGTGGGATCTCTTTCTCTCAAAATGCTCTATTGGGTGCCCATGCCCTCCATTGATGTACTAGTAAGACTTGGGACAGCATAAGAGTTCATCTAGATTATTAATCTTTCAGTCTAGGCAATTGTTAGGAACACCCCATTTCCAAACCAGGAAGGTATAAACAGACAGCCAACACTACGTATTGCCTGGCTGTCTTAGTAGGTAGTTACTTTTTTGTTGGCAATACCATGCCTTTTGATCTCCTTGGCACAGCCAACAGCCATAGTTGACAGAAAGATGGTGGCATGCTGCCCAAAGCTTATATGTATTGTAGTACATGGTTTATTACCATAGATACCAGCGCCTAAGCCATAGTTGGAATACAAAGTTCTAGCCTGGATGAAGATAAGTAGTGGTGGTAGATTCAGGAGGACTTCCATGTCAGTATGGGTCATTCTCATTGTCCCAGTAATGGCCTGATAGTCTTTCAGCAGTACTAAAGATACTGACTGCCCTCAGCTGTTATATCTTTGTCCACCAAACTGACCTATAGGTTATCTTGACAATAACAAATGCTGAGTCATAGGGGCATCTTTGAATTTAGTCCCCAGCTTTTCCCATTTCAACTGCATTCTGCACAAGATGCTTATGTCCTAGTGCCATTACTTGGTAAGGGAATGACGATGATTTTATTGGGTTAACTTTCTAATGATTCTTTTATGCTGTTGCTCAACTAGGCTTTCCTAGTTTCTTAGAGTTTAGTGCTGATTATGGTGATATAGTCAGCATTTTCTTATGCTTTAACTTGTTTCATCCTCCTCTCATTTAAAACTTCGTAATTAAACTATAAAATATAGAACCTTTTATAACTTATGTTTGTTTCTTCTTTCTCATCTGCTTTGACCTTTTCATGAATGTTGTTCTCGGTGTTTTTCACTTGCACACTATCCAAAATCTTATCTTCTGCTGAGTCAAGGTATGGGCTGAGAAATGAATATATTTGATAAAGCTGTTTTTTTTTCACAAATAAAACAATCAAATTTGGCCCCACCTCACTGCAGTTGTCTTTCCTTCGCTTGTTTCTGTACAGTTCCTCTGATTGGACTTGACAGAGCTTGTTTCAAGATTTGAAATTTTCTCTTCAATATTCACTTTGATAGGCTCACAATTCAATATGTAAAGTGAATCAGATGCAATGTCTGTGATATAATAGGAATGCTCTTGGGCACGGTCTATTTTGAAGAATTTCTCAGCAGTACAAGCTGAAACAATTAATTACAAAGTACACTATTACAAGTAGTATAAAAAAATGCATTTGACTCACTATCAAGGTAACACCATTCTGATTTGGTCGTGGAAGGGTTTTGTGTTTCCATTTTGCTATTAATCAAATGGCGAATTTGTTCCAGGTCAGCCATAGGGTCCACTTCAAATTGTCCTATGTTTATCGCTGGCAAATAAACATACAAAAATTATTTCACCTATAAATTATGGCCATTGCCGTGCTTAATCCTCAAATAATTTAGAAATATTTAGAAAACTGCTGTCCATGGACGAAAGGGCTTTCAATGACTTGACTAATGCGCTAGGAGCTTTAACGTCCCTATGCCAATGAATAGAGGAAATCCTAAGGATAAGGGAATTGTATTTCCTTGGACAATATGCATAAAAGAAGAGTTAGACAATTTTACAAAGAAAAGCGCACTAGGAGGGCATAAGTCAATTGTTCTGATTGTAGCTGTAATGGGAAAAGTCAGGGACTTAATCCAAAAATTTCCCTATGAACACAGCAGTTGTTAGTGTTGTTCTGGATAGTTTGGTGGACGAAGACATAACAGCTAAAGGCAGTCAGGATCATGAGAACTGCTCAGAGACTACCTGGGCTACTCAGAATACCTCCCCCCCCCAATTAACCTGGAGTCCTCTTGAATTCAAGGGCTGTAGAGGGTACTTATCTGTAGAGGGCTGTCAGGATTCTCAGTTCTGCTCAGACTGGGCATTCTTGGGTAATGAGAATGATCCCACTGACCAGGAAGTCCTAGTAAATCCAAGGGGACACTACAGCCTTCATATACCAAGTATAGGTCCAGGAGCTGTTATCTATGGAAATAAACCAAGGCCCAGACTTCATAAAAGCCTTGGGCAGTATGCCACTGTCTTTATATCCATTGTGGTTTTTGTTAAGTTCTAAGATTACAATGAATGTATGATTGCTGACTGACCACTAAATGGTGGCTAGAAGCCTACTTAAACAAGGAGTTGAGTAAGTTAAGCCCAAAATGTCTGTGATGAGGGAAAACTAGCAAACCTATTGGTAGTCAAGTACAGAGTAATTTGAGATTACATTAAGGTCCTATTAGAGATTGTGGGCAACAGATAAATCACCCCTTTTTGGGTACCAAGGTGTATAGAGCAAAGGGGCAACAAGGAGTACTAATAAATTGGCCAAGGAAAGTTCAACAAGGGCACCTATTGCCATCAGACAATGGTATGACTGCTTTCTGGACACTGCAGAATCTGGAGCAGCTAGCCTGTGCAAACATTACCAGGAAGAAGAAGAAACAGAGAAAGTCCTGTGCAGGCTTAGATTCCTTCTCCAGGAAGAGGAAAAGCCGAGGCCTGAAGGATATTTAAGATACACGGTAGGTATTTTGCACTATCTTAACCTTAATTATTAGCGTTAGGAATGAGCTTATGCTAAAAAAGTTGACACCCTGTATGGGGGTAGAGGAGTACACGATATTCTAACATCAGCCCTTTCACTTTTTCCCACAAGTAAATACATTCAACTTTAACATAAAACTATAAAGGGTAAAACAGCCCTGATTCCTCCAAAAATCGAAACATTGGAGCCAAATGCTCAAACAAATTCATATCAAGTGGCGTGGCTACAAGCTCTCTATACAGCGCCAAGGAAACCCTTCAATTAAGTGGGTCACAACGTGCAACCTTTGCCCAAAAGTCCGTGTTTCAAACTCCCACTATTCTTAATCGGATGAGGTTATCACTTCTAGATTCACTGATGGTTACGTCCGGAGGTTGATACTCTCCAGACCTCCATCCAAAGGGTAATTTACCTGCTTTCTTCAAGTGTTCTGTGTCACACTGATACTCCTCATAATCAGCTATATTAATTTTCTGGACACCGATGTTTATAGGCTCCAGATGGGTTTGTCTGAGAAATGAAAACATAATTGAGAAAATCTTCAACGTCATGCGAAGTCATTACGTACGTGGAAACCCTTGAAGTCCTTCCACGCTTTGCCACCATGGGGGCTTTATTCAAAAAGCTCATTGTAATAATACTCGGATTGAGCTTACACGCTTCGCCATCCACTTGCATCGGTATTGTTTTGAAAGTCGTGATTACAGCGGATTTGCATTGGCAAATTCCAGTTCCATGGCCACCTGCTTGTAGCAATGGCTGGAAAAAAATTGGTCATAGGTGGATTAGGCCACTGATTCACTGAAGAGGGTTTGTTATTTACCAATTGATAAGTAGTCAATCCAACAACTTCTATTAATCCATCATCTGTTGATGGCTTCATGCCATCCATTGGTGGCCAAGGTTTAGCGCCACCTCCATAACTAAAAATTGGACAATAGGTAAATAGTAGACATAAATAATAATTTGAATTACCTGGCTATGTTTAGAAACACTATAGCATGAAACTTGTGTTTTTTCAATTCTGATGTCAGATCCTTTCCATCGCACACAAGAGTGACAAATTCTGCCAACCCTTTCCATTTCCTCTTTAAAAGATCTTTGCCGCCCATCTGTCCATAGAATATTTTATTTCGTAGTCTAGAAGTGAATTTTTCAGGGTGGGCTTCTGTAAATTTGATAGAAATTAACCATCCGTAAGTACTGTAGTCACATTAAAGTTGTGGCAATAAGGTTGAAGTTCTTTGGGTGTTGTCTTGACCATCATAAGTGTTGTTTACAGTCTTGGGTGAGACTCATCAAACATCGGTCTCAAATATCACGCTGACTGAAGTAAGGCTATCATCAGTTAAGTTTTTTCAGTAACCCAGTACCATTTCAATTCAACTTTCATAAGCTTAGTTATTCCTAAATGAATCTGTTTCTGTGTTGTCTTTTACTGCGTATGGGAGTTTCAAGTAAATCCCAAATCATGGGCATTGGTTAGTGGGAGATGTATAGAGAGGTTATACTGCAGAGGTTAGTTCATGGATTTGGTTTTATTCAGTCTGATCTTCTAGTTCTTGAACTTCCAAGCAGGTTAGATGGTCCTGGAGATTTCTACTAGGAATGGAGGTGCAAAGGTTATTTGCTTGGATTCAGTTTTGTTCCTTGATCCTACATGTCTTGAATCTCAAAAAAGGAGATATAGTTCTGGAGGTTTCTACTAGGTATGGGGTTTCACATAAATCCCAAGTAGCAGACCTTAGACTACATTTCTTGAACTTCCAAACAGAACAGATTGTCCTGGAGGTTACTGCAAGGCACTACTAGCTCTGGACTTGCTAAGAGAATTGATGGGAAAGTTGCAGTTAAACTGAATAGAAATGGGACCAATGATATAGCTTTGTGGAACACAAGCTAGAAGTACGTCCAGTTTCGTACTTGAAAGTACTTATAGACAGATAAGATTTTAGGATGAGGACTATATTATTTGAAGTACTCCTTTAAGTGCCACATGAGGTGGAAGGCTTCTAGGGAAGCATTCGAGCAGTAGTGTACCACCTCTGTAACATTGTTGAATAAATTCAACTTGAATTGATGGGAGGATGAAATGGCACTGGAACTTTCAAAACTGGGACATGGGGTTTTCAAGTATAATTATCTTACCTCTGGCTTCATGAAATTGTAAGGCGATGTGAGCATCGACACCAAGGCTGAAGTAGTTATTAACTACATTTAGAGAGAGATTGTCTTTTCCTTCACACTTCGCCTCTGTGGCATTGGGATTTTTTTCAACCTTCAGCTCCCACCTGTCTAGGTGGACGACATCTCCCAGGCTCACATTCCGAAGAATTTTTGACATCGGCTCATTGGAATAACCCTAAAGTTGCAAGATAGACTGATGTAAGAGTGACTCGATGGATTGATAACTTTTCTTACCCCTCCCCAGCCTAAGTCCCTGGCTAAGTCGTTGCCAGTTCCAAGTGGAAGGACGCCGACGGGCGGTGGTGGGTTGAAGTCTAGTTGATCAATCTCTGAAAGAATCCAACCGACAGTTCCATCGCCACCACAGGCCAACACTCTCAAATAAGGAACCTTACGGTACAATTGCAACCTGGAAAAAAATAGATTTAAAAAACAAATTAACTCAACAAGAAAAAGTTTGGATTTTTCTAACTCATATTTCAATGTAAGCGATTTTAGCAGGATGCCAGATGAATGATGATTCTGCAGTCTTTGGTCTATTTTTGCTTTGAATTAACAGGCGTTTGTACAAAATGCATGGGCTAAGAGGCAAAGCGACTAAGGTTAGGTTAGGTTGGGTTAGAGTTAAGGTTAGGTTAGGTTTAGTTAAGTACAGAGAAAATGTGTGTATGCGAAGCATGTGTGTTGTATATAAATCTTACCCCATTTTAGGTCCTCCTTGAGTTAAGTCGAACACTTGTCTTGGGTTAAGCAACCAGTGAAACTTTTGGAGCAATTTGTGACCTTGGTTGCCACCAGATTTTGGGTTGATGAACACTATAACAGGGTGCATGTTTGTTGTTGGTATCGGTTTCACAGTGAATGCTTTCTCCGTGCTTGGCACATCGCACTCTTCGCTCTAAAATAATCAAGGAAAATCAATGAAAATGAACGAATGGAACATCTATATTCTTACTAAATTTATAAGTTATGACAAGAAGTAAGGAAAATCATCATCGTTACCAGGGAATGATCGTGAGTTTGGTTAATAATAGTTAGATTAAGCTAGAGAGACGGGTTAGGTTAATTAAGGTTAGGTAAGGGGTTAAAGACGGGTTAGGTAAGATAGAACAAGGTTAGATTCAGGTTAAGGTAGGGCTAGGGACGGGTTAGGTCGGTTACATAGAGTTAGGTTTCGTAAAGTAAATTAAAAGGTTAAGGACGGGATAGGAAAACTGGAATAACGTAAGTTTAGTATTAGATTAAGTTAAGGTTAGGGACGGGTTAGGTATGATAGAATAAGGCTCATATTAGGTTAGTTAGGGTTAGAGAGGTTAAAGGGTTAGGTTAAGTAAGATTTGGTTATGGGTTAAGTTCATGTTAGGTAGAGATTTAGGCTACGTTAGGGCTAGAGACGTGTTAGGCCGAGTAGATTAAGTACGGTTATTAATGGGTTTATGGACGGGATAAGAAAAGCAGAGTAAGGTTAATATTTTGGAAAAGTTAGTGTTAGGGACGGGTTAGATGAGGTTACATTTTGCCTGAGTGACCATTTTCGCGTCAATTTCGGGTGACTGGAGTGTGCTTTTATATTAGGTTAAAATAAGGTTAGTTAAGGGGTAAGAGACGGAATAGTAAAAGTAGAGTAAGATTAGTATTTACGTTAAGTTAGGGCTAGGGACGGGTTTAGTTATGTAAGGTAGGATTAAGAGTAGGAAGAGTTAGAATCGGGTTACGTTTTATTTTGTTAGAGTTAGGGACGGGTGAGGTTAATTAAGGTGTTAATGACAGAATAGAACAAATAGAGTAAGGACAATATTTAGGTTAAGTTAGGGTTAGAAACGGGTTAGGTTGGTTAGGACTGGAACTTGAGTAAAATTAGTATTTTGGTCAGTTAGAGTTACGGAGATTTAGGATAGGCTACAGATTCCCTGCGAGACCATTTTCGAGTCAGGCTAAGGTAATGGAAAGACAGGTTGTGTAGTGTTAGGTACGATAAGGGTAAAGTTATGTTGGGGCTAGTGATAGGTTAGGGTTAGGTTATGTTATGTTATGGTAAAAGGCGACTTAGGCTAGGTAGATGTTTTCTTGCGAAGCGGAGAATTGTTTTATGATGGTAAATAACAATAATCTTTAATGTAAGCAATACTGACTTTCCGTGGAAGTTTCACTATCCATGATGGCGGTACAATTGTCCCAGAGTGTATTCCTTAAAAAGAAAATCATTATTAATACCCGTAACATGCAAAACGTTTGTCCGCTATTCAGTAATCGAGTATTTGCGTTTTCTCGGGTGTCGAAGAACTAAATGGAGAAAATGCACACGACTCTGAATACGGCAAAAAATCCAACGGACACTCATATCGTGGTTTAAATTTATATGCTGTTTTTAATAATCACCTAGGTTGCAATCTTCTTCACGTTTTTGCGCGTTAAAGCAGTTGTCTTTATTGTGGAATGATATTTGACACCAAGAACAACGCAATGCAATTTTATCATTGCAAAAAGGCAATTTCGACTGAAAAGCCTAGGAAGGAATGGAAAAACTATCGTTAATCCTTTGACATTGGCATGGAAATAGTTTTGGCCGTTTTGTCACCTTTCCGCAGTGATGGCATTTCCCCTTCTGAGTCCGCCTGTGAATCCAGTGGTGTTTAGTTTTTGTATCTTCTCTGTAAGATGTAAGACCGGCGTCTTTGAAGGTCGGTTTGCAATGGAACCTCTGGTTACCGGCGATTTCCGAAATGCAACTGGTATGAGCGACCATCTTGCACGCTGAGCACTTCAACTTGGTGCCTTCTTGCTAAAATCGACAACCACAAAAATCACAATCGAATTCAAATTCAAATTGAAAAAAGCCAAACTCACTTTACATTCTGATTCTCCCATGTAACATTTTTCGGACGGATCTTTCGAATACCAAATATGTTCCCCTTCGAGGGCCGATTCGTCCCAATTCGGTGAAGAGACTAATCCTATATCTGAACCGTGTTTTCTATAAAAACAACAAAATATTACAAACTGTTTAATGAGTGTCAATATTTATTGGCGCCAATGCATGAATAGTCTAGGAAACGAAGGCATGACTGAGTATGACGGGAGATGTGAGAACTACGCCATCTACGATGTTACTCCACCTCAGCTGATCTCAATCAAAGGAGAAGCGAAATCGTTTATACGACAGGTTGTTTTAAGCCACCATCATGATGCCGAATATAGAGAATAAACTCTTGTGGGGGACCGAGGGAGCAGAGGACCTAAGGTAGTGAAGAGGCTGATAGACTAGCCGAGACGACCTCCAAGTATTGTCGTCATCTGGGGTTAGTTAGAACTGCCTGCGTACCCAGGGAGAAGAACAAATACAGAACAAACTCTTGTCAAGGTCCCAGGACGTACATGACCTAAGGGTAGGGAAGAAGCTAATAGACTAGCCAGGGTGTCCTAGGAAGCAGTTTTAATCAACTGACGGGGGGAGACTTCATTGTGGAACTTGGAATTCTCTTGGGATTAGTTTATCTACGAAAGGGGTTTTTGAGGGCTTCGTCAAGGAGGGATGACTGTGATTCTGAGGACTGGGTATTGGAAGGTTTAGTTTTAGCATTCCTTTTGGGACTAAGAACAAGCCATACACGGTTATTATTCGAACATATTTGATCAAAACGTCCGCCTAAAGTCCTTGGTTAATAGTAAGGTTTGTCATTGAATCGATGAGATAGACCCAATAATATAGGAACCTTCGAAACATTGACTGTGCAAGGTTCACTAGAACGGAACAAACAACTTGGACCATGCAACAGCGAAGAAAAAACCAAAAACCTGCAATGTGTTAGAAATTGCACTCACAGGATTTATAATTGATACATACGAATCAAGCGACCCTGTGAAGGAACTCGAAAGTACAAAAGAACCTTTCTAGTGGATTAGAGTACTGGGCCAATTAACAGTCGAAACCAGAAGTGCATTCAGTAAAGCTAAAATAACTGGGAGAGTATAAAAGGCTACTTACCTAATATAATCATACCACCCGCTGGGCAAAGACAGAAAACTTTCGCAACTTTTTTACGGAGAAATCTCTTCAGTATCAACAGCAGGTAGACTATTAGTGCATAAAGCATTAGCAAAGGACAAAGTGGATATAAACACTGCCGTGAAGAAAGTTGACGGCAGCTGCATAGAAGATGCAAAACAAAAAGGAACGCTTCTTCTAAATACACATGTTCCAGGTAGCACTTATGACGTACCCCTGGAAAATATGAGAACACACAAACAGGGGAAAGAAAACTGGAAGAAAGCAGCTGAAATATACACAGAGAAAAATATCCTCTGGGCAATCAATTCTTTCAGCACATAAAAAGCGCCAGGAATGGAACGGATTCGACCCATCCTGCTACAAAAAGTAGCAGGAATGTAATTCCAACACTGGTGTGCATATATAGAAGCAGTCTAGCATTAAGCTACATACCACAGCTTTTGGCGTATGACAAAAGTATTGTTTATACCAAAAATAGGGAAAAGAGTCCCTACACTACCCAAATCCTATGAAACAATCAGCCTAACATCTTTTTAACTAAAAGCACTTGAAAAGCTGTTTGAAAACCTTGTAAGAATGACAATGTTGATAGACTTTCATCACGGACAACATACATACAGAAAAGAACGATCAACAGAAAATACTCTGTACCAGTTGACCAGTGACCTGAGGAAACACTTGAAGCAAAGGAAATAGCAATCTGCGCGTTCCTCGACATTGAAGGAGCCTTTGATAATGCATCCCATGCATCCATGAAGGCCTCCCTAGAAAAAAAACACGTAGACCTTACCATATCTAGATGGATTGGAGAAATGTTTAGAATCAGAAAAGACGAGTCAAGCAGAGGAAACGACACTATACAGTTAGCACAACGAAAGGACGTCCACAAAATGGGGTACTATCACCTCTCCTATGGAGCCTAACAGTTGATGAAGTGCTTGAAACTCTGAACTGCAGAGGGATAAAGTGTCTGGGCTATGCAGATGATGGGAAGGGGAAGATTCGAAGAAATCTTCTGTGGCATAATCCAAGAAGGGCTAAAAATCACATGAATGGTGTAAAACCGCTGGGGATTAACCCTAATAAAATAACCATAGTCGCTTTTACACCGAAAAGAAAACTGAATCACACGAGACAGATAACTCCCAATAATACTGTGAGAGAAATGAAAAAAGGAGACCAAATACCTAGGTATCACACTAGACAAAACACTAGCATTTGAGGAACATATCAGCTCCACTATCTAGAAAGCCTTAATGGTGTGCAGAAGACTAGCGGAAAATACTGGAGATGCAGCCCGGAAACCATACTTTGGATGTACACCATGATGGTGAGACCTATTCTCACACATGGCACCATAGCCTGGGCCTATAAAGCAGAACAGATAAGAAAACGAAGAGAACTCACGAAAATACAGACATGCATGCATTTGGATAACGGGAGCAATGAGAACATGTCCCACAGCTGGTATGGAGAAGATTCTAGGATTAATCTCCTTCTACTACATGATAACGAGGACAGCACAGAAAACAATTATTAGTATTATCAAAGAGAAACCTCCCATTGGAGAAATAGCAACAATTTATTGAAAGACCATAGCCCCAAGAGACGACATGAATAGGATGTTTGAGTTTAACCAAAATTTTCAAATAAACTTCGGTAAAATAAACCAGAAAGGAATGGGAAAGGGAGAAAAACTCCTTTAAAAATGGCACCATCTACTTGTACACAGACGTATCTATAACGCAAGAAGGTGCGGAGGCAGGAGTATTCGGTCCTGGAACCAAGCACTCAGAACCCAAAAATACACGAGTCCAAGCTGAGGTCCATGCAATTGAAAGATGAACCTAATTTAATCTGAATAAAGGTACAAAACAAGAATGTAACTATCATGTCAGATAGCCAAGCAGCCATTAAAGCGCCGAGTTCAAAGACAATTAACTCAAAGATGGTGCTGAATTGCAAAACACAACTAAACAATTAGGTATGCAAAACAAAGCCAGCCTCTGCTGGGTCCCAGGGCATGTGGGAGTAGAAGGCAACGAGAAAGCGGATGCCCTTGCAAGAAGAGGGGCTGCTATACCGCTGATAGGATCCGAGCCCTTCTGTAGAATAAGAATGTACACTATCAATGAGTTCTCAGACAGAAGGATAAAAAGAAAATGAGGGAACAATAGAACTCACTCATTGGGCACAAACAATCCAAGAATCTCCTAACAAACTTTGGCAGGAAAGAGGTAACAGAATGTATTAAAGGAAGCAGGACACTGCAAACTAAATGGACATCTGACGAAGATTGGCATAACCCAACACGGCACGTGCAGATTCAGAAAAAAAGCAGAAGAGGCACCAACACAACCAATAACAAACCGTGGTGCCACACTTGCCCGCAAGAGGAAGTGTTTTGGGACATACAACGCAACTGTAGAAGAGATTCAACCACTGAAACCGAACCTACTAATTAAGATCCTTGGTGATCACTTACCTGTGTGCTTTAAGCACAGAACGTGGGATACAATAGCTCTTAAAAGGCGCAGGATAATATACACTCCAACTAATACATATACATCTAAGACCAAGAAAAGTGAGATGCGAGTAAAGACTGAGGCGAGTTGAATATTGTCTACTGTCAAGTCCGAAGAGAGCCAAAATCTGAATAAAGGAATAAAGAGAGAGTCAAATAGAGTCAACTGTTTAGACCAAGGAGAGCCATGACCCTACCACCTATATGTAGCAGCTACACTGCTGAGATTATAGCAATAGCAAAATGTTTAACTACATTAGCTCCATCCAGGGAAACGATTGTCATCTGTACTGACTCTTTGTCAGCGCTATTGGCACTTAAAAACAACTTTTCTGTACATCCATTGATACAAGAAATCCTATTTACCATTGAATCTCTGCAAAATAAGGGAAATAGAGTAGTTTTCATGTAGATTCCTGGACATTGCGGAATATTTGGCAATGAGAAGGTGGACCAATTGGCAAAGCAGGCCGTCCTTAATGGAGTTAAAATTACAAAAACACCAAAATCCGATGTAACAGCTTGGCATAAAAGGAAGTCCTGGCAGTTATGGCAAACGGAGTGGGAAACGACTTCTAATGTCAAACTTAGGGAGATAAAAAACAGTGTAAAACCTTGGGCCTCATCTCATAGAGGTTCCAGGCATGAAGAAGTTGTCCTTGCTAGGCTCAGAATTGGTCATTGTAGGCTTACTCATTCTTATCTCATGGCAAAAAAAAGAGTCTCCGCTTTGTGATGTTTGCGCAGAAAGAATAACAGTTAAACACATTTTGACAAATTGCCAAAAATATGTAGCAGAAAGACATCGGTTGGAAATTCCAACCAACATCAAAGACTCGCTTGGTGACGACTTCGACCAAATAAACAAACTTTCCTTAAAAACTCTAAATTAATTTCGTAAATATGAAGATAAAATAATGTAATAATTTAATACTAAATCATTCAAGTTCAGTATGCAATAATCTGTAATCCACTCAATGTTGGGAGGTGTCTTGGGGTGCGGTTTGGGTGCTCGTCTGGTGGAGGCTGCGAAGGGGTGTCCGGGGCGTGTGATGCTGCCGGGGCCCTGGTTTCCGCTATTGGGGGTTCATGAGCTGTGGCCCACTCACCATCCGGCTTGAAAGTTTTTTAAGGCGGAAAATGACCCAAAGCGGTTGATCGCCTTTTATTTATATATATATAAAAAGAGCCATGACCTGAGTAAAGGCAGAGACAAATCAAGGAAATGCAATAAGGTGCTGAAGGATGTGCACTCAAACTTTATTTCTCAATATTGTGAAACATTTTTTTGGTCTTGGTTGAGATGAATCTGAATGATCTACCTAGGGTTCTTGACTCTATATAAAGAGAGAATCCAACTGGATGTGTATTAGTGAGTCTAGTAGAATCAGTGGTAGACAAAAACAGTCGGTAACGATCAAATTTCAGGTTAACCACTCCTTTTCAGTCTAAGAACAAGCGAAAGACGGTTGTCATTCAGGTACATTTGGTCAGAACGTCCAGTAAGGATGAAAAGCGAGCAGGCAGTAGGAAATGTATTAGTAAATCAATAACATCAACCATAGACAAAATGGTCGGTAAGGACCAAAATTCAGGTTCATTAGTATGACCAAGGTTTTCCATTCCTTATTCGGACGAAGAACAAGCCATAGACGGTTATCGTTCGGACCAATGTGGTCAGAACGTCCGCGCATTGGCTCTATATAAAGAGCGAGCAGGCAGTCAGTTAGAAGTGTTTAGTGAAACTAGTAGAACAAGGATAGACCAAAATGGTCGGTAACGTTCAAATTTCAGGTTAATGTAGTATGACCCAGGTTGACCATTCCTCCTTCGGACTAAGAACAGGCTACTAGTTCACAACGAACCAAAATGGTTGAAACAATTCCTAGTCGGTCTTTCGGTGTGCTTATTACTACAATAAACTTTATTGTTATATACTACAAGAATAATCACAGATCCTACCACGCATTTAAGTTTTAGATTTGAAGGTTGAATTGACTGATTCAATAGATGATTCATTCCCTGTTGTCGTATTCTTTTTTCAAGAGAAACGTTTTATTTATAAAGTTTATAAATGATGTAAATATTGTTTTAAGGCTGGTCTTTGAATTGAATTTTCCAGCCAGTTTTTTTAACAAAAAAATTTCCAGATTTTTCCCTGAGGTTATTCAAAGGTCTTGGCTAAGCGTTGAAGGTTTGCGCTGGAAGGCGACCTCTCCAGGAGGGGAAAATCTGTGAGATTAAGCGATTAAAACCGGTTTAACATAATTCAGTCCTTCTTGAACCAATTAGGAGATAAACTTGACCTGGTTTGGTTTGAAAAAGAAGCTGCCCCTTTTGTGCCGAAACGAAAAGTCAACGAATGGAATAATAATCGTTCTTTGTAGTAATTAGAATATGACCTTCCAATTTGAGAATGTATGGAATTTTGGTTTTAATTTTTCAAAGGTTTTTAAATGAAAAAACAATTAAAAACAGAGGTGGTAAAATTTTGAATTGCCTGGTTTTGTTCCTTTTTGGTAGTATATCAAGTTTCACATACATGTCATACCTTTTGTTATCTCCCATTGCTAAAAATGCTGAGAAGTCCGAACGCCAAGTGCACCACTGATGACCACAGGCCTACCTCAGAAGCCTTCCATCGTACTTTTTACCGGATTAACGCTGATCTTGTTAGTCGGCCGGCTCGATACTCAAATTGGATCGTTCATCATTTCAACAAATTTATTTCATTATTAAAATAAATAATTTAACGGTGAAAGCTTACTTTAAAAAACCTGATAATTTTGCAATCTTTTTGGAAAATTTTGATTCTAAGTTGTGTGTGTTTTTTTTTAATCAAAGATTGTCCTTTAGATAAGGAAAAAGATAATTCTTCACCTTTGTCAGCAACTTAACTAAGTTATATAAGCACTGTCATTGTAAAAGCATTTTTTTAATGGAGTAGGGGGATTTTTTTTGTAGATTTGATAAATCTAGGACTTTTGCACTTTTTAATAGTTTCTCACTATTATATTTAATATTTTTTTACTTTCACCCTTTATTGATTGATTGATAATGTTCCATTTCACCACACAAAGTTCGACCTCTGTGCCAATAAACGTGAGAGAGAGAGAGAGAGAGAGAGAGAGAGAGAGAGAGAGCGNTCATTTAGGCCGCGAACTACCTGTGTTACAATTAATAAGAGAGAGAGAGAGAGAGAGAGAGAGAGAGAGAGAGAGAGAGAGAGAGAGAGAGAGAGAGAGTGAGAGAGAGAGAGAGAGAGAGAGAAAATGAGTGAGTAAGAGAAGGAGTGTGTGATTGACAGAATAATGAATGAATATAATTTTATTTAAAAAGCTCGCCAATTTAGTTAACATTGACGTTCTGTTAACAGTGTTGTTTTCTATTTTTTCAACCAGACTCATTACGTACAAGGTAAACACATAATGCAAAAACCTATACAAAGAAACATACAAATATTGTCTTTTTATTGTTTACTCATACCACCAGGTTTTTGTTTCTCAAAACACTAAGACAACTAAAATATTTTGAATATCACTTTTTGATTCACCAAGATAATAAAAAAATACAGTTCCAATAATGAAAACTAAAAATAACACCTTTTTTAATCAGGGAAAATTTGTAAAGCCTAAAAAGAAATTAAAAGTTTTGAAAAAAAAAATGATGAAAATATTAACAGGCAAAAGGACGGCAGTAGGTGAGAGGTGCCACTGCACACCTTACTGGAGCTGTCGAGCAGCCCTTTGTAAGAATTGATCATATCGTAGCTTCCTACGTCTGCCGATACCAGTGCAATTGTTGAATCCTGAAAAAAGAAAAAAATTGCCGACTTTACAGTGTAAGGCGTTCTCAAGAAGGAATAAGTTCAATACAAAAAGCTCTTAGGATCGATTCGTCAGACAAACACAAGGACAACAGACAAAAGCAGAACACTTATTTTAATATTAAAAAAAGTTCGCAATCGCATATTTTTCTCACGATTAACGGAAAAAGGAATTGTATATGTAACCCCACCTAACCTAACCCTAACATAATTTAGCCTAAATGTCATTAAACCTAATTTAACCTGATCCCACCTACTCGTCCTTAACCCTAACTAACGAACTTCACTTAACACACTAATTCACTGAACTTATATTTCAGTATCATTTCCACAGTAAATATTGAGTTTAATAATGTACACTGAGAGAGAGAAAAAGTGACACCTTAATATTTTTAATTATCTCTTAGACAATCCTCCATTGATTATCTTACAACAATATTTGGTCCGTTTTAAAGGATTAGAGGTAAATAAAACACAGATAAAATCTCCGCTTGTGTTTACAATTGGATTTTGTGAATAAATCTTTGAATAGTCAATCTCTTCTTTGTTGTTTTTTCTGTAAAACTTCTTTCTAACGTTGCGTTGTTTTGATTTTTTTTAAGTTGTACCATTTTTAAGATTCAAATTTGTTTAAGTGATGGTTTTAAGAGATCGGTTAGAATCATAGCATTGTTGGAAGATGGAAGAAATCAAGCGTATGTTGCCAGGGAGTTTAACATCTGCAGAACAACTGTCCGAAGGGTCTACCATCGCTACCAAGGTACTGGATATTACTCAAGAATCACGGATCAGGTCGCCATAGTGTCAAATCACAGAGAGACGATCGTTTTATTGTTTCGAATGTACCCCGTAATCGAAATTCTACCGCTAGTGAGATCAAGCAACGTCTTCAACATTTAGAAATGTTAATGTCAGTCCCAACACAGGTAGGATCGTTGGTGATTACTTGGAACGGACTTCATTTTAATGTTTGGAGTAGCCAGCGGGTAGTCACTTAAACCCTATCGAACATCTTTGGGACAAGTTTTCAAAAAGGGCAAAAAGTCGCCCAGTGTTACAAGAGAATTTGCAGGAATTAAGTATGGCGCTGTTGGAGGAGGATGAAAATATTCCACAACACTACATTTAAATGGCACGACGAAATCGAGCGGTGATAAACGCAAGAAGAGAAAATACTCCGTACTGAATTGAATATTTTCTTCATATGTTCATATGTTCTTCATGTTTCGATAGCAACATTTTTGGTAAACTTGTTTTACTAAGGTTAATTTTTTTTATTTAGCTATACCCTATATTTATTTCTCTTGACGACTCTTTACTCTCTAAAAAAAAACGCTTTTTTTGCCTCTCAGTTTATTAAGTTAAAACGTAAATTATTAATATAGCGAATTAAACTCCCTCAATGCAGGGTTTACTGTGCTGAGGAAAAACCTAATATAATGGATCTTAACCGAACCTAACTAATAAACCGAATCTGACTCGTCACCAACCATAAATTTACCTGACCAACCTGACCCTCCTAGCACGTCCTTATCCCTAACATAGTGTAGCTTAACCTAACCCTAATTTTACCAAATCCTAATAACTGTCCCGCAAGTAACCTAACTCTACCTGGCACATACTTAATCCTACCTACCCTAACCTGCTTAATACAACCCAGAGCACTCACTGGAAACGCGAAAACTGACACAAGAAAACTGAATATCCATACCAAAAATACATTTACATATAAAAAAAGATTCAATATGACAGTATCATGTATTGGTGTTTTTTATAAGTAAATATAAGCCTTTAGTTCCAGCAGGTTTATTTACATGTTATGTATATGTTTATTTACATAAGGGGCTGAAGATGATTATAAAATAATTGAAAAGCTTCCCATAAGCCTGATGGAACTAAAGGCTTATATTTATTTATAAAAAACACCATTATGGAGTTCCACAGCAAGAACGGTGCCACACTCAAAACATCCTGAGTATCATATATGTTTATGTAATGCTATATGTGAGATAATCCATTCATTAACACTGGAGGAGTTTCTCAGTCCGTTTTATTTTCTGTAAATCGTTGTTTTGAATCGCATATAAACCAAACCCTAACCATTTCCTAACTTTTTCTAACCGAACCCTATATAACCTAACTGGGAAGTAACCCTACCTAACCCCATTCTTAACCGTAACATAACGTAACCTAACTTTAATTAGTCCGTCAGTATCGAACCAAAATTAAATGTAACCCTACCTAATCTACTTTGTTTTTATTGATTTTCTTGACATAGGTTATCAATATTTTGGATGATCGTATGGTTCATTTTCAACCTAACCTTATCTATTAAGTAGCATAACCTTAGTCATCGCTAACCCTTCGTAATCCGTCCTTAACTATAACCCTGCCTAACCTAATTCGCCATTAACCTTAACTAAACCTAACCCTATATAATCCGTTCACTTAACCTAACCCTAAATAATCCATCCTTAACCATAACCCTGCCTCATCTAACTTCAATAATCCTAAATTATCTTAACCCTACATAATCCATCCTTAGCCTTAATCCTACTTAGCCTAACCTTACTAGCCCTAACAACCCAAAACTATATCCGTCCTTAACCATTACCCTACATAACTGAACGCGAAAATGGTCAAACAAAAATAGTTTATTTCCATTACGAAAAAATATCCATGTTAAAATATTAATCAGTACTTCTAGTTGTTATATAATTGTATAAAGGAAAAGGAACAAGCGGAATGCCAGTTGACAGACGAGCCGAGGCAAGAGACAATCCGCGTTATTTTTTTTCCTTCACCAAATGTACTCATGCACTCCTCATTCGGTCCAGTTATTTCTCGTGAGGGCAGCTCCTCGCCTTCCATTTGAAGCATAAAAAGACGGAAAAATGAAGATTTTAAGTTGTTTTTCTCGATAATTTTCTGATTTAAATCCGCTTATATTAAAATGAAAAGTAAAAACGACTAAGAATTTTTTGCCTTTTTTAAAATAATTTGTGTATATTTATAATATTATATTTGTCTGTTTGTTTCCGAATAGAAAAGGCCTAGTTTTATCGGCGAGTTGTTAGGTTTTTTTTTTTTTTTAAGTCAATCCGGACGACCTTCCAGCTCATTGGAAAACGTCATATTATATAAACACCCAAACAGAAAATTCGTACAAGGACGACAAACCAATGTCGATGAATAATTCACTATTAAATTTTTAAAATTAGACTAGTTATTGAAGCGAAATTCTTCTTTAATTTTTTACTTTTTAGTGTAAAGGGCTAGGCAAGGAAGTAAGTATTTCTTTGTGGGGAAGGGAGGGATTATCTATCCAAAAATGGTTTTGGGACGACTGCACATTTGTAAATTGGTGAAAGGAAGCGCCACAAAAAAAGTGGTCGGATGATAATAAGACAATACCTTGAAAAGAAGCTGAGTCCCATTTTGAAATTGGCCAAACATGCGCAAAACTCCTTCTTTCGTCTGGCTGGTGGTTCCGAACCAGTTGTTAAGTTGCAAAAATAGCTCCGACCAATCGAGAAATTTTTCCGGCGTCTTCTCTCTCCGGCCGACGATCTAGAATTTCATATCCGTTAGAATGTACGTTCGAGTCCATGTCTTGAGCGTTGACCGCGGGAGACAGAACGGCATAAGGATTCTTGGCCGGTGAGATAAGCGGGGAAGGGAGCAGGAAAGGAGAAAGGGAAGGGAGAGAGAGAGAGACAGTTTGCGGTGACTGAGAGGAAGAATGAAAAGTGAGAGGATTTGTGCGTGGGTCTGTCCTACCTTTGTGCATTACGTTCAAACTATCAGCCAAGTATCGGCTCGATGTTACAGATCATCCTCGACCTTTCAGTCCAGAATGATCAGTAACGAC